CCCCCCCCCCAGAAGACGCCTGTGAGAGGAGAAGCTCTTTGGGGGCCGGAGCATGCACACCTCCCGCCCTGGGCCCCGGGCCCCAGACCCCGCCCCCCGCCCAGGGCTGCCCTCGCTCTGGCTCACTGTGGCAGTCGCTGATGTGGATGTCGTAGATGTGGGAATGCGTCTTCAGGGTGAAGATGAGCCCGATGAGATATGCCACGGGCAGCAGAAGCGAGACCGTGTACACCAGGGGCCTGCCGGGCAGAGAGCGTTGCAGGGGGAGAGGCCCCGGGGCCGCGGCTGCTCCCTGCCCACCCGCCCGGCCCCCAAGCGCCCAAAGCATCACGCTGCTTTGGCACGCTGCGCCTCGCAGCCCTCAGGTGGATTCCGCTTTGGAGACGCTCTCGGGGCCCACACCTCTGCGACGGGGGGGGGGGGGGGCGGGCAAATAGGGGCAGCCAAAAATATCGGTTCCCGGTTCAGGTTTGCAGGAATTGCTTCCGCAGACAGACAGCGCCGCTTTTCTGAATGGGGGGCAGGGCCAACACAAAACCTGGGACCCACCACGGGGGAAGAGGTGTGGCCCCCGGAGGCCCCTCCGAGGGCCCGATCTGGCCCTCAGCCCTGCGGTTCCACACCCCAGCAGAGCACTGGAGGCGCCTCGTGTCGGAGCGGACGAGGCCGGAAAGGGCCAGGGAGGCTGTGCTTGCAACCGGCCACTCTGCCGAGCTCCAAGCCGAGAGCTCCCATTTCTGGCTTTCAGGACCGACTTCCCAGTGGCCGTGAAGGGCGAAGCAAATCGCGCATTAAGGGTGCCTGCATGTGACGGGCCGTGTGGCTCGCATCAGCCCCCTCGCATGGAGCTCCCGTGACCAGGAGAGACGGAGAAGCGGAAGAGCCGGCAGCTCCTCTGACTGAGCAGAGGACGATGGCCATGAAACAAACCCCCGGGGAAGAGCCGGGCATGTTCAGCCCCGAGAAGCCCGAGGGGAGAGACAGCAGTGCTTTTCGGACCCTGGAGAGGCTGACACACGGGGAGGGCCAGGAGCTATTCTTGGCCACCCCAGAGCGCCGGACGTGGAGCAACCGGTTCGAGGCGCAGCGAGCCACATTCCCAGAAGCCTCCCAGACGCAACTGGGCAGCCATCTAAAAGGGCTTGGAGTCCTGCACTGAGTACGGGTGGGACCCAGGGACCCTCTGCCCCTTCCAGCTCCCCTCTTCTGCGATGCCCTGATGGCCGCCCCGTCCCCAAAGCCCTCCGGCAAGAGCGAGGAGACTTACTCCACATGGCTGTAGTAGAGGGTTCCGTTGTTCTCCATCTACCGAGAGAGCACAGACAACATCACACCGCGGATGTTACAAGCTCCGAAGCAAGGACGCCAAGCTCTCTGCAGGCTTCCGAGCCAGCCGAACGCACGCCGACACGGCGGGCTGTGGCCAGTGGCGCTCCCGACACACCAAAGGGCCCCAGTGCTGGGAAGGCGAAGCAGGCCTTCGGTCCCGGCCTCCGAGCGCAGGACAGCCAAGAGCACGCAGGCGCGCCTGTGCCCCTGTGTGTACCGTGGCTCTGAGTTCTTCCGTTCAGGAATGAAGGAGCCACTCAATGCCCCGAAACGTCGTTCTGAACTTTTTGCTGCACTCCTGTTTAGTCTGCTTTTTGAATGACTACACGTGTGTTTCAAGTGCGGGTGCTTTCCCCCATTCACACGACTCTGAAAAATGCCTCTTTGAAAATGAATTGCATTTTAAACTCCACAGCTTTTAAAAAAGGGATGCGTTTCAAACGGGCTTGCCAGCTTTGTGCATTTGCTGAGATTCCTCAAACAAGTGGCTGCTCACACTTCAGTTGCGGATGGCGGCACAACATTTTTAGACGGCGAGCAAACGTGAACCAAACCAAGTCCTCACGTTCTCCCAGCTCGGTCCCAGCTCCAAGTGAAACACAGAAATTTCGACTTACCAAGTCGAAGCGGCAGCTTTGGCATACGTAATGGCTGGATAGCTCTTGGGTGAGGTTCTGACATTCGCCACAGATCAGCCTCCCATAGACTTTGGAGAACAGTGTCGGTGCGAAGACCCCTGGCAGAAAGCAGCGTGAGAATTTCCCCGAGGAGGCAGCCGCCTCGGGGGCCACCTCCTTTGCACCTCTGTGCCACAACTAGTGCCGCTTCTCCTTCGCCCGTTTCTCTGGGCAACTAAGCCTTAGGAGAGGGCTTTCGAACTATTGGCGTGGGAAAAAAGCCAGGAAGCGGGTGGTTCGGAGAAACCAGAAGAACCACAGGGACTGAATTGGGACCCCAGGTGAGCTGGACTTGCCCTGCAGACACTTCAGGTTCAGTAGGCCATCACTGATGCCTAATCAAGGGATTGCCGCATTTGCATCTACCTGTCTATGGCTCTTAAGCTGCCCTTGCCAGCAAAAATGCTCTTTTCATGTCTGCCGGGCTCTGCTGGGTCTCTTTCATAAGGGACGGTCTAAATGCTGGCAGAGAAATGCATGCAAAACTTCTTTTAAACATACGTTTTGGCCGTGTCCCAAAGTTGCTTCTTTTGGGGAGAAGGCTATTATAGAGGTACATCGAACAGCCTTCGATATTCACAGCTATAAATCCACTTTTGAATCATCTACCTGCTCTATAGAAATGAACCAGGTGGACGGCAAGCGGGCGCTTTCTGTTCTTTCGACAGCTAAAAGACTGATCTTATAAAACCGGGAGGAAAAATGCTCACCTCTGTTAGTACAATGGATTGAGAACTTTACTGCACATTTAATCTTGGAACTGGTGACAAGCAGACACCGCCCTCTGATGAACACTTATTTAGATATTTGGTCGCTTTGACCGAAGCCTCTTGTACCAATTCATGTCCATATTTTAAGAAGAGAAAACAATACAAATGTTCAGGGCGTCTGGAGGTGGAGCATGCTTTTTATTTGCCCACAATTTAAGAATTAGGCAATTTTACATCTGGTTTTAAGTATCTACAGTCGCATTTTGATTTTGTTTTTGATCTGGATTCGGTTTTGACTTTGCTTTAATTGGAGATATGTTACTGTTGGCTTTACGTATATTCTTAATTACTGCTAACTGTTGTTTTTGATTATGGGTTGCTTGTTTTGATTTCTGTAAGCCGTCCTGAGACGCTTTGTGTATAGGACGGGGTAGAAATAGTTTAAATAAATAAATAATGCGGTTATCTGCAATGCACCACCCAGGAGCCGGCTAGCAGGAGGGCCTCCGAGTTAGCAGGGAAAGTGGGGGAAAGGTCTCGTGCGCACCCACGCGCGCACCCCCTTACCTCCCACAGACAGGAACAGGAGAGCAGAGCTAACCCCGGCGGATCTGCTGTTGAACCGCTGCTCCTGGTGGCGGATGCCTCCGATCACCATGCACAAGCCCTGGAAGGAGAGAGGAGCAGAAGCCGGGCGTCCTCCTTGCGCTCGTCCACATGGGCTTGCGGGAGAGGCCCATTGCGAACAGGAAAGGCCAGAGCACCCCCCCCGGATGTGCTGGACTACAGCCCCCATCACCCCCGGCCAGCTAGAGGTGGTGGGGCTTGTAGTGCAACACAGGAAAAGGCTGAGCTAGCAGCAACGCTTCCCTTCACTCGTGAATCAACACGAGGCCAGCTCGCAAGGCCTTCTCCTTGTCAGAGTTTCATATCTGGCAATGTCAAAAAATTAAGATCCAGACCTACTTTGTATCGGCTTATTCATGTGGCGCCCAACAGCGTTCCACATCCTGGCTGCAGAATTCTGGACCCCCGGCTGGCGGAGAGAAGGCTGACAGCCGGGGGGGGGGGGTGGCTGATGTGCCAGAAAGCCTGGGGGCAGCTCCCAGGCGACTGACTCAAGGGACATTGGCCGCTGGGATGGGGGCTGGTTGGCAGGGTGAGCCACATGAGGGGAGGCCGAGGGTCTTTTCAGCCTTGAGAGGAGGAGACTCAGAGGGGGCCTGCTAGCTACGCACAGGTACGTGAGGGGGAGCCCCGCAGAGGTGGGTCATGACCTTTCTTACCCTGTGGTGGAGGGCAGGGTGCATTCCAATGGAGGATGCCAGGAAGCACTTCCTGGCAGTCAGGACCCCGAGGGTGTGGAATGGGCTTCCACAGGAGGTGGTTGGGGCCCCATCAGTGAGGGTGTTCAAGGATAGGCTGGACGTCCACATGGCAGGCATGTCATGAGCTGAGCTGGCTGGAGCCGGGGGTCAGACTAGATGGCCCGGGAGCCCCCTTCTGACTCGCTCTGCTTCTATGGTTTTTTGACTCACCGGAACAAAAAGGATGCAGCCCAGGAGCGTCCCCGTCAGCGCAGACTTGACGATCTCCTCGTAGCACTTGTTCTTCTCGCGGGCCCCCTTGATGAGCGCCGAGATGTAGAAGGTGAGCTCCGTGATGGAGCCGAAGGTGGCGTTCACCACCGCTCCCACTGCAAAATTGCTCTGCGCCGAGATACTGGAGGGGAGAGAAGAGAAGGCGCGGCAGGAGATCCCGTGCGTTAGAGTCACTGGCCCTCCCTGCCGGGGCTCATTGGCGGAGCAGGGATGTCGGCTCCCGGGAGGAAACACTGGGAAAAACCGGCGGAGCAGGGCCATGAAGGCAGAAGCATCTCCGGTGCCGAGGACCCATCCTCCGAATCCGGCCTGCGAAGGCCAGGCTGCGAGGCATCCGGTGCCTCCCCTCAGCACAGGTGAGCTAGATGCTCCGGATTGTTTGCTTGGCTGGCTACCGAATTCCGATCCCACCCCAACTGGCAAATGCCCTCGAGCCCATTCACTATCACCATAATTAAATCAGAACAATAACATTATTACTGAGCGAGCAGTAACAATAGGAATCTGAGCAACAGGTTAAGGGTGGAACACCTGCTAGAAGAGAAAGGTCCTACCTAACCTGATGTCTAAAAGTATATGGTGAAGACCCCAAGAGAAGCCCCCTGGAGAGGACCTTCCAGGGGTGGGGGGCCACAGCAGAGAAGGCCTGTCCTCTTTTTGTACTCCACGCCCCTAACGGCAGGTCTCTCTTTTTAGCATCTCTCTCCACACAGGTGGAGCCGTACACAGCTCAGAATCCAGCAAAAACTGCAGAATCTTACGAATGCTTGATCTTAAGAAGTCCCGTTTCTAGATTTTGTGGAGTTTTTTTTTTAAAGCCTTACCTGGCAATCGCCATGCCGATGTAGTACGAGAGGGGAACGATTGACAGCAGGGCCAAGGTGAACTTCGTCACGGAGCTGGTGTAATAGTTACGCTTGTCTGTGTAGCCCAGAATGAGCGTTACGAGGACCAGGGGAAGCAGGTCTGGCGGGGAGGGTTAAGGACAGAAGCCCACGGGCCCCCCCAGCCGGCGATGGAGAGGCTTCGTTGCTGGCAGCACCCCCCTCTGCCGCGGAGAGCTGGAAGGGGGCCAAGGCGCCGCGTCGGGCCCGCCGAGCTCAGGTGGGACGGCAAGGATTCCCCGGAACTGCCCACCCCACCGTCTGACGTGCAACACCTTCCCGAGCTGGGCTGAGGGGTGGGCAGGAGCCGAGAGGTGGGGAGGAAGGCGTGGGCACCCCACAGCCGGGCTAAAAGTATTCTGCAAACCAGCCCACCGTCTCCAGCACGGCCTCTAGGGAAGCTGCAGCCCCGCAGCTCTTGCTTTGGAAAGAGTCCCCTCCCAGGCCCCAGGATTCAGCCGGGTTTGGTCACTACGGTTGTGGAGATACGCAACAATAACAGGCAGTTTTAGGCAAATCAATTCAGGCTGTACAAGCAAAAGATAATCGCATGCCTAGGAGCCTGGGAGCGGGGGGAACGGCGCCGTGTTCTCGCTCCGAAGAGGCGGCACCCCAAAGGAGGGACCCGGGGCCAGGAAGGATACTGACGGCAAATACGTTGATCCCGTCCACAGCGTACTTGTAATAATAAGCATTGACGGCCTGGTAGCAGCAGAGCACGACTTCCGCATCGAGGGGCACCTCCGTCTGCAGCGGGAGGGAAAAGCAGAAGCTGCCCGTCACCGCAGGCCCCCCCTCCACACCCCCCCCCCCACTCCGGAGAGGCTTGCACTGCACCCTCCAAACACGCTCGGTCCTGCAGGTCATGTTTTCCTCCACTTCTCTACTCGGACCTCGATCCAAGATAAAGATGCACGTGATTTCGGCAGCAGCACCCCCCACCCCCAGCCTGCATTTGGCTTTCCGGATCTTGCTTTCCATCTTTGGGTTTATTTTTTTTTGGGGTTATCTACTGATTTGTACTGAATTTTGGTCTTTCCCCTCTGCGCTGGCTCTCCCCCCTGGCCAGTCTTGCAATTCTGTACTGCTCCCCCCTGTAAGTGGAGGAGAACCCCAAAAAGCATGTATAGGATTCTACAGGCAGAGACATGCAATCCATTTTTTCTTCCTAAATTGACTCAGCGGAACTATCTTGAACAAAATGCGGGCAAGAAAACGGTTCTGCGGGGGACCTGAATAGATAAGGCAATAGATAAGGTTTCTGTTCTGTGCGCAAAAGAGGTGCCAGCTACAACTGTGAGTAACAGCTGAAACACCACATTTGCCAGGATCCGGGTTTGGCCTGGCCGCTCTCACAGCAGCCAAGTCTCTGCTCAGGCAAAGCAACCCACAACTCATGCCTAGAAATACTCGTTATTGATGAGTCAATCCAATAACCTTAATAGGGAGCAGAGATCTGGATTGTCTTGTTTTGCCTAATCAACAGAGCGTCACTTCAAAGTCATTCTGTACACATCAGTTCTCTCAATTGTAGGTTGCACCGTATTTGTGTTTTGTGTCTACTGGACACAACTATGTCTCGTTCAAAAGAGGTTGTCTAATTCAGCTGATTTCTGGCAGATCAATACAACGAGTGCTTCTTTTAAACACACATTTTAGCCATGCCCAGTAGTTGCGTCTTTAGGGAGGCTAAATTATTAATTACGCAACTAAATTTTGCACTGGAACAGTCTTTGATATTTACGGATGTACACACTCTTTTAGAATCAAGAATCTTAGAAGAGTAAAGTTGGAAGGGGCCATGAAGGCCATGGAGTCCAACCCCTGCTGTTGCAGGACACCAGTTCACACCATCCCACTCTGACTGCCCAGTTTCTTCTTCAAGATCTCTAGTGGGGGAGAGTCCAGCACCTCTGCAGGCAGCTGGTTCCACTGCCGTGTTGCTCTGACAGGGAGGAAGCTTTTCCTGACGTCCAGCCTGAATCTGGCTTGTTGCAACTTGAGCTGATTCTTCCATGCCCTACACTCTGGTATCAGTGAGAAGAGATCCTGACCTTCCTCTTTTGACAGCCTTAGAGATACTTCTACAGGGATAAGTACCCTATAAGTACTTACCTACTTCCCTGCTTCATGGAAATAGAAACATAGAAACAGAGCGAGTCAGAAGGGGCCTCTCGGGCCATCTAGTCTGACCCCCAGCTCTAGCTGGCTCCGTTCACGACATGCCCGCCATGTGCATGTCCAGCCTGTCCTTGAACACCCACACCGATGGAGCCTCAACGACCTCCCGGGGAAGCCCATTCCACACCTCGGGGTCCCAACTGTCAGGAAGTGCTTCCTGGCACCCAAACTGAACCTTGGCTCCCTGAGCTTTGCTCCATTGGAGCGCGTCCTGCCTTCCTCTGCAGGGGAGAACAGGTCTCGACCCACCTCCGTGTGACATCCGCTCACATACCTGTATGTCGCCAACAGATCCCCTGAGTCTCCTCCAGTGGAAGAGAAATGGGTTCTCTGAGCCTTTCAGAAGCTACATGATTTGTATTACGAAACTGGGAGAAAAAATGCTCACCTCCAACAGGATCAGCCACACCCCCAAAAGTTTGTCAGCTGCAAGGTCTTAATGCGCTGGCCGTGAAGAAGCCGCAGCGACCTGAGCCAGAGGGCCTCCAACTGACTCCCGCCTCGGCCCCTCTTCGCGGCCCTCGCTCACGCGATGCCTCATGCCACTTGCTCACCTTTCGCAGGCGCTGCACGTGGACACGCTCCGGGGGCAGCAGCAGGACCTTGGTGACCATGCGGGCGTTCAGTTTGCAGATGGGGATGAGGAAGACGAGGAGCCAGCAGACGAGGCAGATCAGGCCGTGGGCCAGGCAGAGGACGGGGTAGCCCAAGGCGAGCCAGACGTAGGCGCTGCAGTACCGCTGGTGCAGGGGGAGAGAGAGCACGCGTCAGGGGGCAGGGCGGTGCTTCCCCACAGCCGAGGGGCGCTGCTGCAACTGGCGGACCTGTGGCCTCAGAACTGTCTGCCTCCAACCTGCCGGCAGTTTTAGTAAGGATTTTTTGTGCTGTTGGGGTGCCAGGTCTCCCAGGTGGGGCGGAGGACTCCACAGGCCCGGCAGCTGGTGGGTGGGGTGACGGGAGCCCCTGCTTCTCCGATGGGAGGGAAATCAGTGTGCAGGGACCCCCCGGGGAGGAATCCCTCCAAGGAGCTGCACAGGTCAGACGGAGGGGCCCGCAAACCAGCCAAGGCTGCGGGTGGCGTGTTCTCTGGGGACTCGGGGCTGGGTGTCCCACAGTCAGATGCCAGATGGCCTTTTGGGGCCAAAGCGCGGGGCGTCTACAAAATGGGAGCAGAACTCCAGGGGAAAGAGCCCCAAGCGGCCAGACCTCTGCTGCTGCTTTCTGTTTTTGGAGCCCACAACATCATGGTGCCGGAGGTCAGACTAGATGGCTCGGGAGGCCCCTTCTGACTCACTCTGTGTCTGTGTTTCTATTCCTCACGAGAGCAGAGGAGCTGAGAATGCGGAGGCCGCCCCTGCTTTCTCACCCACATCCTCGGAAACGCTTGTTTCTAACATGCGTCCCTGTGTGGGGATGCCGGGGGTGGGGGCACGCTGGCTCAGCCCCCCAGGCACTTGGACGGAAGCGATTCCTGCCCTGCCAGGAGGCGCTGGATGCCCGGCCGGGGGCCTTCTCCGTGCAGGGCCGGGCCTCTGCTGTGAAGCTGCAGAAGGGCCCTCTGGCTTGCAGCTGGACAGCACAGCGGCAGCCGGGCCTCCCATCCCCGAGCGGGGGCCTCCCGGCTCTTGGGGTGTGGGGAAGAGGAGGAACAGCAGAGCTCGCTCTGCCCCTCCACTGGCAAGCAGCAAATTGTCCCAGCGCAAAAGGAGGGAGGCGGAGGTTCTTGGGCACCTGTGCTCTCCTGGAAAGCCAGAAGGCGGTGCTCCTCAGGACCACCTCCCCAGGGAGAGCCAAGGCCCGCAGGTGGCTGTGCTACTCCTCATCCCTACGGGCAGTTTTCCTCTGCTGCAGCAGCAGCTTGCTGACAAGCCGGGGGTGCTTCATTGCCCCTTCAAGACCGAGCCGCCCCACGGGCCCTGTGTCGCAACAGGGGCAGCTCCCAAGACTGTATCAGTGCTGGGAGAATCTTCCCGCAGCCAAGGCACGAAGGAACAGCCAAATCTAGCTGTGAACACACGCGACAGAAGGAAGTGAAAGCCACCGCCGTCTGGGGGTCTGCTTCCGCCACGCCACTGGGCCTGGAGGGAGCCCTGCCTCGTGCCCACCCGGGGGAGCGCGTGTGGCAGCCGCAGAGGGGCTGCGAAGGCCCGAGCCTCACCCAGCGGGAAGCGCCGCAGGCACCGGCCGGCTCTTGCCACGCGAGGAGCGGAGTCGTCTCCTTGGCCTCGTTCACTTCGGCTATGACGTTGTACCTGTTGAACTTCAGGCTGCAGTTCGGGCTGTGGTCCTTCATCTGCAAGGCACGGGAGGCAGGGAAGACGAGGCCCTCTACCCATTTCACAGTTTGGCCTGGGAAGGGCGGAGGCTGGACTCCTACTCCTCTGGAGGGCACTGGGTCGGGGAAGGCTTGCGAGCCCCAGACCGGGAAATGCCCTCCTTATGCTCCCCCCAGCCAAGCCTGCGTGTGAGCCGGTTTCTCCCTCCCTTTCTTCCTCTCCCGCAAACTCCGATGAAACTTTGCAAGCACAGCCCCTTCAATAAAACTTAACAGGTCACAGAGCGGCATAAATCAAAGTTCCAGCTCCTGGGATGTGCAAGATCCCATGTAAAAAGCAGAACCCAAGTGGGAGCACCCCCCTCCTATCCTTCCTTTCAGAACGATCCTACCTCCTTCCAGACGGTGGGAATGGTGGGCACTTCCTAACTGGTCTCCGACCAGGGTGCAGGACCACCCTCCCTCTCCACCCCTCCCTGTTCTGAAATGCCCCCTCCTTCTCCCAGACGGGCTGGTTCTCACGCTCCGAGAGTTTTCCCTGAAGCCGCCCGGCCCTCTGCCCCTCGGCCTCCTCCTGAGAAGCGGGCAAATCTCTCTGAGCAGCCCATGATGCACGCGAGCCGGGCCGAGCGCCTGCGTCCGCCGCTTGTCCCCCCCGAGTGCTCGGTGTGACACGCTGCGTGTCCCCCCCGGAGGGGGTCAGCACTGCAACAGGACCGTCCTTCTCTGGAGGTCTGAAATGCCGCATCCATCCGTGGCCGCGGAGAACGGCCAGGCCGCTGCCAAAGCGGGTCCCACACCGTGAAGCCAGGCAGCCGGCCACATGGGGGAAGAAGCCAGACCACGGGGGCCGCGCGATGCGCCACAGAGCGCCCTTCGGTGGCTATTTCCCCCACGGCGCTCCAGCTGTTGCTGTACTGGGATTCCCATCAACCCTGGCCAGCCAGGCCAAGGGCGATGGATGCTGGGAGCTGCAGGCCCAAACATCTAGGGGGCGGCACAGTCCTCGCCCCAAATCCAAGAAGAGGCTGTGCTTGCGCTGAGACTCCCCTGGACTCCTCTGTGCACCATCGGGCGAGCCAAGTGTGCTGGCGGCCCCCCACGGCCCTGCCACCTCCTTCCCGCGTGGGCCTGAGGGCTGGTCCCAAGTTCCAGCCATGTATGAGCATTCGCTCCCCGCACCCCCCCAGCCCTGGACCTGCTCCCCCCCGCTAATGCCCACGGGGATGTGGGAGGCAAGCCAGAGCCCAGCCCCTGGTGAGACGCTGCAGCAGGTCGCTCCCTCTGCTCCAGCAGGTATCTGGTCCTGAGCCCCCCAGCCGGGCTGGAGAGGAAGGGCAGCGTCTTACAGATCTGACCAGGAACTGGGAGCCCCCCGGCCAGCGGGCCGCATCCAGTCCCGCCTGGGCTGGGAGCTGCTGCCATGCAGCCAGGGAGCATTTGCAGGCAGGCTGCGCCCGAGCGCCACTGGAGCTGCCGCACAGAACGGCGGGCGATCTGCCGGCCAGAGGGCCGCGGACCGGAGGGGCCGCGTCCTGCCCCCGCACAGCACGCTAGAGGCGGAAAGAGCGCCCGGCCCGCCGACCGGTCCTTGGAACGCGGCTCCCCGGCATCTCCCAGCTGGCAGCTTCCCCTCAGGCTGAAAACGCGTCCCCACAGCCGGGCGGGTGGCGCGCAACTGGCCCGCCTCGGGGCATGAAGACCCTTGCGACAGGCACTCGTGGCGAGGCGGATGAGCCGGAATGGAAGTGCCCCGCGAGGGGCCGCGCACACCTCTCCGGCAAGCCGGCTGCCCCCTCCTCGGCATGCCCGCGGCATCCGTCCCGCATCCCATCCTCCCCGCCCGGCCAGACACCGCAAAGGACCAGGTGCCACGGCTACGGAGACCGGCCAACCGGTGCAGGGCTCTTCCCGATAACGAGTGTCGCCCCCCCGTCCCCCCCACGGCACTCACCTTCTGAATTACCTTTCCAAAGGGCCACAGGAAGTACGCGGCAAGTTTCCAGCACAGCTTTCCTGCGGTGGGGAAGCAGGGGAGGGAGAGAGAGAGGCAGGGGGCGGCTGGCTGGGGCAAGTGGCTCATGACCCCGGCGGCCGCGGCCTGTGGGCTAATCCGGGACGGGGCGAGGGAGGACGACGCCGGCTTGTCTGCACAGCGAGGCCGGAGCCGTGCCACATTCGGCGGCTGGGATTCGGTCTCAACGTGCCCGCCGCGAAGCGCACGCCCCAGCCTGGGGTTCCCCGGAGCCGAGCGGGGCCGCGGGGGGCAGCCGATTTCGGAGGGCGTGCCTTTGAGGGTCCCCGCGAGTCGGAGGCGGCTTGACAGCCCAGCCGGTGCGCCAGCAGTGCCCTCCGGAGCGAGGGCGCATGCTGCGGCAGTCCCCTGCGCCGCACCCCCGAGGAGGACCCCACCTGCAGGCCGCAATCTCTAGCAGGTTTATCTTCGCAGGGCTAAGCCGTGGGGCCCTGGCCTTTATCCCTCCGACCCAACCCTGGTGGCACCCGGGGATTTCTGAGCGCTCTCCTCTCTGCCTCGTTCTCTCTCCAGCCTTCTGCCTGCAGCGCCTGGCGGTGGACCCCTCGCCTTAAGCTCCTCACGTGGCCCCAGATACTCAGGCCTAGCTGCACGACCTCTACCGCCAGGCACCTCGTTCCCCCCGAATCCAGCCTGCCGCCTCCTCCAGCCCCCCCGTCTCTTCCTCCCTCTCACGACCGCTTTGCCAAACCAGGGGGCTGCCCTCCCATGCCGCTTGGGGCTGCTTGTCCTCGGGCACAGCCGCGACCGCTTCCGGGCCGCCGGACTCACCGTATGGTGCCCCCAGGACCGTGAGGAACATCAGCGCCGAGACCAGAGCGTAGAGCGCGCTGAGCCACCACCCGAAGAAGAGCAGGTAGACGAGGTTCCCGCACGTCACCATGGAGCCTGGGCGGAGGGGGAGACGGCAACATGGCCGGGGGGTGACCGCCCGGCCCAGGGCCGGCCCTGCTGTGACGCAGCGGGAAGGCCGCCTCAGGTGGCGAATTCTGGGGGTGGCTCGAGAGAGCGCAGCCGGAGCGCAGCGCAGAGCACGCCACCTGCCCCGGGGAACGAGTCCCTCGGCTGCCTTCAGGTGCAGCAGGTGGGTGGCAGCAGAGCAGAGACTCCGTGGCCAGTCTGGCTGTCTTCTGCAGAGGCACAGGCGCACCATCGTGGCCTCTGCCACAGGCTGCAAAAGGCTGTGGGGTGGCCTGACCCTGGGCGCCATCTTGCCTTCCTTCAGAGCGGGGGGGCTCTGGAGAGCCCGACTTTCCAGAGAGAGCGGGGCACAACTTCTCATGGGCAGGGAATGGGGGGAGGAAGGGTCCCGGGCGCCACTCAAAATGCTGCCGCCAACGCCAACGGAGAGCTAATGGTTACAGCTGGACTGTCCCCACCCAGCATGAGTGGCCAGGGGATAATGGGAGTTGTAGTACAACACATCTGGGCAGCAGTAGGTTGGGGTTCTTTGTGCTCCATCTGTGTAAGCCGCCTTGGGACCACGCTATGGGGAAAGGTGGCACAGGAACGCCAGGCACTGGCACTGGGGGTTCGGGCCCTCCGGCTCGGGGCCAGGCCAGAGTGGCGGCTGGAAGCGGCCCGGTTCCTACCTTTGGAGCTTCTGATGATGTTCAGGTCCGAGTAGAGTTCCTTCACAATCTCAGAGCGGTCTTCCCAGGGCCTGGCGGTCACGTGGCTCTTCCATTTCTTGAAGCCGAACTGCAAGAGGGAGGGCAGGACGGAGCACTCCCTCTCTGGGCCTGTTCCGTGAGGAAGCAGCCTTCCCCAGATGGCACCTGCCCCATGTGCTGGACTACAGCCCCCATCACTCCAGCAGCTGGGCTGGCTGGGGATGAGGAGAGTCCTAATCCAACATGGCAGGTTCTAGGATTCTTGGGCGGGGAAGCCCTGGAAGTTACTGGGGCGCAATAGCAGTTTGGCATTAGATGGGCTGCAAAGAAGTCGAAGGAAATTATGGGAGCAGCCGGACTTCCTTGCCAATCGGGATGCAGCCTCCTGCCCCAGGACAATGCTCTGGCCACGGTGTGAAGGCACCGGTGCCTGAAGCTAAGCAGGCCTGGACCTGGCCAGTGCCTGGACGGGAGAGCACCCGGGCACCCATGTAGGCCACCCTGAACCCCAGGATAGGAGAGGCAGAACTGATGTATCGGAACAGAGCATCCTCTGCCATCCAATTCATGGCAAAGGCTTCCTGCCCTCCTCTCCCACCCTGCGATCTGCCCTTCAGGATATCTGCATCCTCTTCTCCAGACGATGCTTACGGTAAGCCCCTCTCTCTGGAGAAGGATCTGTCTGACTTCAAAAGCCCTTTGCACAGGGGTGAAAAAGTCTCCGGGAATCTTGAATGAAGGCGGAACGCAGCATCTGGCTCTTTTTTATCGTACTCTGCCAATTTCCAAGCTTATTTCCGTTCTTGGCAAGCAGGATTTTTTGGCCAGCTGATTGTGGCTGAATTAATCCCAGATTCCTTACCCTGAATCCAAGTGTCTCCCATCCACTAACATAACTACGAACGTTCTTGTCCGTTCCAAACGCAAAACCTCCCCAACTGCCCCAGACGCATCCTGCCTTGATACCCCGGGGTTGGATGCACCTCTAAAAGCAGAGGCGTCAACTCAAATTCCCCCCACCCCCTTTAAGCTTCGCTCTTCAGCGAAGTCAAATAACTCTGTTGCCTCATCACCACTTTGAGAAACTCACTCTGCCCACGGAACCAATTCCTGACCTTTTTCTCTGACTTGTGTAAACTTCTCTCAACGCAGACGCTTAAGCAGGCTTAGCAGCACAAAACCCCGTTCAGTCGACCCCCCACTCCCTGCGGCCCCCACTCTCCCTGGGATGAGCCCAAGGTGGCAGGGCAGAGAAAGCAAGGGACAATGGTCCGGCAGGGAAGGTGACAAGCCGCCCACCAGCGCCCCTGTGCTGTGCCACATGGGAATGCCCCGTCCCCACCGCACCCCCGGCCTCAGCCACTCAAGGACGGGCAAGACGGCAGACCTTGTAATTGTTGGAGAGCTTGTGGGCTTCCACCTCGTTCTCCGCCGTGATGGTCGTCTTCATCAGGCAGCTGTCGCAGGCCTGGGCCTCCTCCGAGTGATGAGGGCAGCAAGAGGGACCGGAGAGCACTGCAGGGGGAAGAGGAGTGGGCGAGCTGGCTTTCCCAAGGCTTTTCTGCCCTCTCGGGTCAGGAGAGGCCCACGGGCGCAAAGCCCCAGGCCGGCTGGGAATCCGGCCCTCCTCGAGTTCCGCTGTGGCCTCTTCCCCCACAAACGCCGAGTTGTTTGGCCCTTCGGGGACTTGTGTCCCAGTTGCGTTGCTGGTAGGAAGGGCTTCCAGCTAAAGTGGGCCACCTGGAAGCCCGCTTCGGCCTTCATCCCTGGAATGTGGGCCTGGGACCCTCCCTGGGATAGAACTCGGCCCCCGTTCGACGGTTCCCAAGGAGATGAAGTGCAGCATCTCCCTCAAGACAAAGGAAGTGGCCCTTCCCCGACCGGGCTCCTGCAGACGTGCTGAGCCACGCATGCTGGGGATGCTGGGAACTGCAGCCCAGCACACTGGAGGCGGCTGGGCCGGGCAAAGCTGCCTCGACAGGCGTGCTCAGTTAGGGGCTCGCACGAGGCAAGGCTGGCCGGGCGAGGGGAGAGGCGGGAGCCGGGGCAGGGGGTGCTCCCTCTCCCAGCTGGCCTCTGCCGTCGCCAGGATGGGCCTCCCACCGCAGCCCCCACCGGGAGAACGCGTACCTGGCGCTATCCTGGGCGTGAGGAAGCCGTGCCCGTGGTGGTGGGACCCCGAATGCATGTCCCCCAGGTCGCCGTGGGCGCCGAGGGCGGCACAGTGCCCGTCACAGAGGGAGCCCCTCCGGTGCGGGTCGGCCTTGCACCCCATCTCTTTGGGGAAGTCTGGAAGGCAAGACAAAGCCACGGGTTGTCCGCTCAGGTGCCCCACCGGTTCTTCTTCTTCTTCTTCTTGGCAGGCTCATGCAGCTCCCCTCCGGAATTTGTCACAGCTCCGCTATGTCCAGAGCATTCCCTGGACCACTTCCAAGCGGCTCAGACGAGCAATCCTGCTTTTTCCCAGGCCCAGCCAGCGACACACGGGCAGCGAACACGGAAGGGCGGATTCACACTCCCCCCCCGGGAGGCGCTGTCCGTGCGAGGGGGTCGTAGCTTCCGAAGCAGGAGGCATGCCAGCCGAGAGTCCAAAGGCAAACCCCTTCGAAGAGAAGGGGGCCAGGAGCATCTCACCTCATTCCAATGATCTGTCTGCCGATTTCACTGAACGGTTCACCATTTCTGTCTAATATATCCTGACGCTGGATCTCGAGTAAGGGAAGGAAGGCGCAACTCCAATTCATGAAGCTCTTGGGAGCACCGTTTCACTAGCGCATGGGCCAAACACAAAAGGGGTGGGGCCAAAATCCTAGAGTAGGCTTGGAAGGGGCCATGAAGGCCATCAAGTCCACCCCCTGCCGCTGCAGGACACCAAGTGACACCATCCCACTCAGAGGGCTGCCCAGTTTCTTTTTCTATGTCTCCAGTGTGGGAGAGCCCCCACCTCCCCAGGCAGCTGGTCCCACTGCCATACTGCTCTGACCATGAGGAAGCTCTTCCTGATGTCCAGCCTGAATCTGGGTTGTCACAACCTGAGCTGATTCTTCTGTGTCCTGCACTCTGGGATCAGCAAGGAGAGATCTTGACCTTCCTCTTTGTGGCAGCCCTTGAGGTGCTTATAGCGGGATCTCATGTCCCCCCTCAGCCTTCTCTTCTCAAGGCTGAACAGGCCCAGTTCTCTCTCAAAGATTCCCAAAATGTCAGCCTATCTCCAGTTAAAGCTCTGACTGCCAGCAACTAGGCCAGAGAAGAGGAACTTCAATCCATCAGAACGGGGTACATGAACCAAAATGGGAGACCACTGAGCAGCCAGATGGAATTCCACAGGGGAATCCAAAACCCCCGAACCTGCATCGGCCCACCTCTGGCTGCCTTTGCATCGTGCCGGAGTGCTTATAGCCTGCATTTGTCGTTGCACTGGGCTCAAACCTCCCCTGGAACCACTAAGGAGCCCCAGGTGAGTCACGTGCCTCTCAGCCAGCCAGTCATCGGCAGCAAGGGGATAATCCTGGCCTCGTTTACAAGGCAGCATAAGATCAGAAGGAGCAAAACCTTTTTTATTCAAATGTCATTTTAACTGTTAATAGTATTTATTTATTTTATTCTTTGGCCAGGGCGACTTAATTTAATTTATACTGTTAATTTATATTATTTTAAGGAAGTTTATTTTTGTTTGTGAGCCGCCCCGAGGCTTTGGCGAATGGGGCGGCATAGAATTTCCTAAATAAAATAATAAATAAAATAAAACTCTTGAGGAACCTCAAGTGTAGGACACATTCCATTATTAAGGCTGCTAAGTCATCTACACCAGACTGAGGAAGGCCAGCACCAGCTGGGAGCAAGAAGGGAGACCGGAACGCTCCGTCCTTCCGAGCTGACGCCACCCTCCAAACCCCAAGGAGCTCAAAGAGCCCCATGAAATGAGAGCAGGCATCTCCTAACGTTGATGAGAACACGCACTGTTCATTCTCAGCTCATATGACACATACCCCGAGACAATCAATTCGACAACCGAGGCTGTAGCAGTTAAGGCCAAGCCATCCCAAAGGCTGGAATCTTGCAGGATTTGCTATCCTCTACCCAAGCAAGATGGGAAGCCCCCCCCCCTCCGCCCCCGCCCAAAGACTCCCACCACTTATGGGCAACTGGAGAAGTTGGAAGGGGTCTGACGGATTCACTCGCCTCCCTTATCATGAGAATATTTCCACCAGGCCTAGCAATGGGTTTGAGCCACAAGAATTAAACCAAAGCTCCAGGTTTGCAGGCAGAACTCCTGATCATGGCTGACTTCAGACAACGTGGTAATCCATGCTCCACATGCGTGCAGGTTCAACCCATCCTTCACCAGGGGTATGGATGTTGTCTGAACCCAGCTGCACCAGCAAGCCACAGGTTGTTAACCACAAACTACCCAGGAAGAGGATCCATAGCTTGTTGCTGGGGTGGGTTGTTGTTCAAGGCTAACACACCCTTTGGCAGAACAGCTGGTTCCAGACAACATGGGAACCCTGTCTGGGGTGACCGGCTGCTAACTGCAGGGGGATATTTTTAACCTCACCCCGGTTCTTGTGGTTCTGTCTGGTTCTCCTTGTGGTGGCAAGGAGTAGGTAGATTTTGGGGTGCCCAGGGAATCTGTGGCAGGCCTCACAGGGACCCTGTGGGGGCCGCCATTGCTCACCCCAATCTATTTATTAGTTTTATTTGTTTAAAGCTTTTATAGACCGTCCCATTACTAACGTCTCAGGACGGCTTACAACAAGCACCGATAAAAGTGGCACAGCATCCAGCAACTCAGAATAAAATCACAGTTAAAACCGATCAACAATTAAAATAATGGGAGAATTTTTAAAAATCTATAGCAATTTAGATGTTGGATTAAATCAGAGGCGGAACTCTTGTGGTCCTACAGATGTTGGACTGCAATTCCCATCATCCTTCAAGTTATGCTGGCAAGGGCTGGTAGGAGCTGCAGTCCAGAACTTCTGGACAGTCCCTCGTTCTCCATCCTCGGATTCAAAGAGGGTGAGGAACTGTCCCCTGGCAAAGCGGACGCTTCCTCGCAGGGGTGTTGGCCACGAAAAACATGTGTGCGACCTCACACACCGCACACAATCTGCCAAACACACAGATGACTTCAGCTGCCGAGACCTTCAGTGGATAGCGAGGCAGGCATGTCGGAGCACCGTCACATTCCTCGCAGGGCGGTGGACAATGGGCACTTTGAGAAGGAAGGCCATCGCGATAAAGCCCGGCTTATCTCGAAATGTCTTGCACATGTGGCTAAAAGTTCACCAGGTGCCTCAAAGCGGCAGCGCAGGAGGCTCTCCTTCCCTGCAGGTTTGAGCACCTGGTGGACAAGACTGGACAAATATTGGTCAGACATCTGATCTGATGAGCTGGCCCTGGCTTCCACACGTAGGAGAGGTTAGTCTGAGCACAAAGACGAAGAAACCCCCGAGCATTAAAGCAGATTTGCCCCCTCCTCCGTCAGCAGAACGGCTCCGAAACCCTCGTGCCAATTCGACCAAGGCCTCCTCCGAAAGACAGCAGGGGCCGGGGAGGAGCGGTGGTGGCGTGCAGAATGCCCTCAGACCCTGCCAGCAAGGCTTATCTTTCTTCTGGCACGTTTTTGCAAGGGAGGATAAAGATTTGCAAATAAGGCTCTCGAAACACGCCATGTTTTATGATCCTGATTCATCTGAGTGTGGAAGGAGACGGATTAAGAGCGTCATCCCATCAGGAACAGGAGGATGTGAACTAGGACTGGATGTTGCATTTGGGGTTTTAATGTCTGCAAAGCACGCAGAGGGCCCTCTGGGCTATTGGGGTGGTATATAAACATAATAAATAAATAAAAATAATAAAATAAAAAACAATAGCCCAGCGCAAGCCTGGAATAAACTTGCGGCCCAGCGCATTTCAGTTGCCCTGCCAGACCTGGTATCTACCACCCTGAACCACCCAACACCTTGAACACCTGAACCAAGGGTAGCCACCACCCTTGAGATCGGCGGCAGAGGCCCTTCTCCAGAGCCCTCCATGAAAGGTATTAGGAGGACGAGTACCCGGATGAGGAGGGCCTTCTCTGCAGTGGCACCCAACCTATGGAACGCGCTCCCCAGAGAGGTCCGCCTGGCGCCGTCGTTATTTGTTTTTCGGCGCCAGGCCAAGACCTTTTTATTTAAACGTTATTTTAATAATAATTGCTGATTTTATTGATTGATTTTAAATTATTATGCCAGGATGTCTCCATTTTTTTATGTATTTGTATAGATATTTATTTGTTGGAAGCCGCCCTGAGGCTTATGCGAATGGGGCGGCATACAAGAATTCCAAATAAAATGAACACCACAAGCATCCATTCCCCCCTGACAGATGGACTGGGAGAACCTGGGACATCCGGTCATCCTCAGCCTGGCACTCCAACAAGAGGGTTCATGGCCAACAGCCCAGCCTGCGTGGCCAAGATGGGGACGGGGCACTAGCCAGAGACGCACGGAAGAAAGTTGCCCTGGCAGGGAACACACACAAAAGCCCACGTCCAGAATTCACTCATCTGGCAGCTGGCTTCCCTGTCGCCAATTAACCAACGCTAATCTATACTGGTGCGTCTGGGAAAAGGCTCGGCAAAGGTAGCAGGGAAGCCTTCCGCACTCGTCTCCTTTCCTCTGTAAGCAAGGCTGCCATCTCTAGTGTGTGGCCTTTCCTTATTCCTCTCGAGCTAGTGGCCGCCCTGTATTCTTGGTCTCCTCCTCTCTATTTTATCCTCATCACAACAACCCTCTGAGGCAGAGTCAGCGAAGGGTCCATGCCTGGATCTCCAGGGACCTGCTCCAGAACTCCCACCAAGACACCTCATGGGCTCTCACTTTTCCCCTGGGAACAAACACAGCGGCTTGGCCTACACCCCCTTGGGAAGGAAATGCTTCATCTTTTCAGGTGCTAAAACATCACAGACCCGCCACCTCTTCTGGAGGGCTCAGTTCCTCCAAACATCAGACTTCCTACGGCCCGATAAGCAGCCAGGTGCCACCAAGAATCCTACAAGCAGGACTCCGGGATTTGCACAAGCGTGCTCCTTACGCATACCTTTGCTGACTGCTTCTGCCAATCTCTTTAAACCTGGCCTAACCGCAAGACCCCATTTGAAGTCCTTGCTTCCCTTTGGGCCACCCCGACATTAGACCTACATCAGTTTGGTCTCCTGCAATGCACACACTTCCAAGAAAGAATGCAAATCAGGGTGAAGCTCCAAGCCCAAACGGAACAGAAGTTAGTCCATCGAGTAGGCAGGTCCGGTCCGGTCACAGCCAAGTGAGCCAGACGCTCACATCCTACTACCCCCAAGCGGCAGTGTGGCTCATTTTGGCCCTCTGGGGAAAAACACACCCCAGAGTTAGCAAAGACGGCCAGTTCCAACAAGGGAGCATTACATTTTCAACACACTTTGATGCTCAATTTTTCTCTTTCAGTTCCGCAGTCTTCCTGGTTGTGGTTTTAATATAGTTTTGCTGAGTTATTTCAAGGGCCTGCAGCCATCTGGGGCCATTGGGCGCATGTGAGATTTTGAGAACTGCTCTCACTCGAGGCTGCTGGAAGCGGCGGCACTTGCAAATTCCGAACAATGAGCAGCACCGATTTCCCAGATGGCAAAAATGGTGAAAATCCCCAGGGAGGTCCACCTGCCGCCGTCGTTATCTGTTTTTCGGCGCCAGGCTAAGACCTTTTTATTCAAGACCTTTCTATTCAAACAATATTTTAACAATGTTTAATATTTATAGGTTTTAATTGTGCAGCCAGGGTGTTTCCGGGTTTTAACTGTATTTGTATTATATTTATTTATTTCTGTGAGCCGTCCCGAGGCTATATAGCAAGGGGACGGCATACAAAAACTCTAAATAAAATAAAATAAAATAAAATAACAGACTATGATGTGTGGTGTCGTGGTGAAGAGTGTGGGACTGGGACTCAGACGATCCGGGTTCGAGTCCCCGCTCAGCCATGGAGCCAACTGGGTGACTTTGGGCCAGTCACAGACTTTCAGCCCAACCTACCCCACAGGGTTGTTGTGGGGATAAGATGGAGGAGGAGATGTAAGCTGTCTTGAGCCCTTTGCAGGAAAAAGGCAGGAGATAAATTGAAAAATAAATAAAATGTGGTCACCGCATGCAGTGTACAGTTCTGGTCACAGCATTAAAAAAATTGTCAAGCTAGGCAAGGCACAAGAAGGGGCTGTGGCTTTCTGTTCCACATCCTTCGATACCTCAGCCCGGTTGTGCTTGGGATTTCGTTCCACCCGTCACTGCAAAGTAGAGAAGCCAAGCCTGTATTGAAAACTACCTTAAAAAGTTTACTTGTTCGCAATAGCTTAAGTTTTCCATTTGTGTCAATGGAAAATTTGTGAGCTTTGGACAAACACTTCCATCAGATGGATGAATGGAAAAGCTTCACTTTGTTTGCCCAGTACTAAACTTTAAAGCTTGATTAAAGCGGGTTTTATAACCAAGGCTGGTTCTATGGTGCAGCTCTGCTGAATTTTGTGTCATGACTGCTTTTCTGTGCTTTTACCTTTATTGCAATTTTCTTATTGGTCGTACACTGCTCTGGGAGATTACATTTGATGGCTATCCTGGACAACTTGTGGCCCTCTAGATGTGGGCAGACTACAACTCCCATCAGCCCTAGCAACACAGCCTTCAGTGAGGAATGCTGAGCCAAAACACCTGGAGCGTCACAAGTTGTCCATCTCGGCCACAACGGCCACAACCTGAGGACTGCAGTTCTATTCTTACTTAAGCCCCACTGCACGCAATCAAATTTACTAATGAGCAGACATTTACAAGATTACTCTGATGTGGTGGTTACACAGACAGGAATTAACAACTCAGAATGAAAGTGGAATAGGAGGATACATGAGCAGTTAAGAAAGTAATCCTGAGTTCATTTCCAAACCAGACATGAATATTTGTGTCTCTGGTTTTGTGCACAGAAATTAAAGAATGGCTAAGAGAGGTACCTGGCTATTCTTCGCTACAATATCAACCTTCTGACACAGAATTCTGTTATGCTCACAACCTCCCTACAGGGTAGGCCAAGGGCGCTAAGACAAAAAGTTCACCGTACCCAAACACAGCATGCTGCTCTCTCTCTGCCATCCCCTTCCATGCACGGATAAACGGATTCGTTAAATAATTTCTGAACAGATGTGTTTAGATATTAAATTCAGTCCCCCCCCAAAATGTGTGCAAGATTGACCTTGCTAGGATGGAACAAAAAGGCATTCTCGTCCGGCATTCTGTTTTCAAGGGTGGTCAGCTAAAACGTCCTGTACTGTCTAGCAGCTGGAACTCAAGATAGACTACTCCTGAATCAGGGAGCTCTAGTTAGCCATCGCGGCTAATAAACATTAGGAATGGCCATGAATGCGACTGAAATTGCCAGCAGGGGGAGGGAAAAAGTTGGAGAAGCAGCTGGAGGGAGATGCTCCGTCTATATGCCCGTGCGCTGCAAAAGGACTGTGCCCAACACGTTTGCTTTCTGCTTCCCCTCCTCAGCCGGGCAAATTCAGCTCCACTCCCCCAAAGCCAGCCAGCCAGCCAGCCAAATTACGCGCGAGTAGACCACGGCCCTCAACCCACTTTTAAACCTCGCCGACTTCAGTGGGGCAAACCACGCGCGTGCCTGCATCGCCCCGCACAGGCGCGCCTATCCCGAGCCCTTCAGGTCCCGCTGGGGTTAAATCCGGGGAAATCGGCGCGGGGCCGCCGCGCGTGAGAACGGCGCCCGGACCCGCGCCCGCTCCTCGCTCGGCTGAAAGGCGAAGCTGCGCTCCCGCCGCCGGGCGAGCCCCACGTCCTCCGCGGAGAAGCCCGAGAGGCGGACCCCCCCCCCCACCCGGTGCCTCCGGAGCCGGGCGCAGCCACGGGAGCGGCAGGGAGGCAGCGCCCGTTCACACGTTACGCGCCGAGCTGGGCGGGAGACGGCGCCCTCCGCGGAGAGGAGCGCGATTGGGGCGCGGGGGCCACGCGAGCGGGCGAGCGGGCGAGCGCGCCCGGGGGGCCCGGGAGACGCCGAGCCTGGCGCCGCTGACACGCGTCCGCCGGGGGCGTGCGGCAGGGGGAAGAGATGCGCCGAGGGGGGGTGGGGGGGGGCCCGGGGGGGGGGGGGCCGCGCCCGCCGCCGGGGCGACGCCGTTCCCACGACCCGCGCGCCCTCACCGAAATTGTCCTGCGTGTGCCTCCGCCGGCGGGCGGGATCCTGCTCGGCCGACATCGCGGCGGCGGCGGCGGCGGGACGGGACGGGCAGCCGCCTCCACCGGTTCCGGGCCGAGCCGAGCCGAGCCCCTCCCCGCCTCCCCCCGGCCAGAAGAGCACGTGCAAGGGGCGGGCCGGGCCGGGGAGGGGGTGTTAAAGGGCGGCCCGCACGGAGCATGCGCGCTCTCCGCCCGCGGGGGGGGCTGCCGCGCTCGGAGACCCCCTCCCTCCGCCCCGGCCCGCGCAACGCGGCACGGCATCCGGACGCGGCCCTGGGCGAGCGGGCGCCCGGCAGCCGCCCGCCCGGCGCGCCTCCTCGCGAGCAAGCCCGGGAGCCCCGGCGGAGGAGGAGGGCCGGGGGGCCGCTTGCGCTTCGCCGGCGCCCCTGGCCCGCTGCGCGGCGCCCGGCTCGGGGTGGGCACGGGCGAGCACGGCCGGGCGGCGCTCTGCAGCTGCTCAGAGGCACCGCCTGGTTTCTCGTCGTGCTGCAGGTGCTCGGCCGCCCTGAGCGCACGTTACTCGCGCGCAGCATCCTGCGCTGCTTTTGCAGCCGCGCTTCCTCCCCAGGCGGCTGGGAACCTCGCATCCCGGGGAAGGAGCGCTCCGGAGGGAAGGCCGCTTCTTCCTCGGGTTACGTGGGGAGCCTGGAGAATCCACGGGAGGCGGTCGAGGCCCCACCGGCGAGGGTGTTCAAAGGTGGGCTGGACGTGCACATGGTGGGCATGTCGTGAGCGGAGCCGGCTGGAGCCGGGGGTCAGACTAGATGGCCTCGGAGCCCCTTCTGACTCGCTCTCCCCTTCTGACTCGCTCTAAGTTTCTGTGGTGCCAGGGGTCAGACTAGATGGCCCCGCAGCCCCTTCTGACTTGTTCTAAGTTTCTATGGGGCCGGGGGTCAGACTAAATGGCCCCAGAGCACCTTCTGACTTGCTCTAAGTTTCTATGGTGCCGGGGGTCTGACTAGATGGCCCCGCAGCCCCTTCTGACTCGCTCTGTTTCTATGTTACTGAACCGTGTCATGCGAGGGGCAAAGAGGCACGCTGGATCTCAGTGCAAGATGCCCCTCATCCACAGCTGGGCCCCACGGGCAGCCAGCGGGGGGCCGATCCCAAGCACTCGGGGCAGTTCCTAGAACAGGCACGCTTGGCTGAGGGCGTCATTTAGTTCCCCGGCACCCTGCTGCCATGGTGCTTTCCTTCCGCAATGTTATGTATACAACAGAAATGGGAACGGTGTTTGATTCAAAACACTCCAGCTGCGGGTATCAGGGTGGCCTACAGAACGCAAGAAAATCCTCACTCGTCTGTTACAAAAGTACAGAAAAAAAAGAGGCAGTACATATCTTACATTGCCTTGCGTAAAGAAATGTATATTGTTTTATTCATATATTGCCCAATAGGCAAAACTTTCTGGGCGGCTAGCAACATGTGAAAACTCATAGAATCGTGGAAGAGTGGGAAGGGGCCATGAAGGCCATCCAGTCCAACCCCCTGCTCTTGCAGGACACCACGTGACACCATCCCACTCAGAGGGCTGCCCAGGTTCTTTTTGATGAAATGATAAAACACAGAACAGATACCGTAAAATTTAATACAAAATTTAAAATGTTTAAACATTTAAATCTCTTTATCCTCGCAGCAATCCCGTGAGGTAGATTAGGCTTGAGAGTCTGTGACGGCCCAAAGACACCCAGAGAGCTTCAGGGCTGAGCGGGGACGAGAATCCCGGTCTCCAAAGTCCCAGTCCAATGCTCTAACCACTACAGCGCACTGTCTCCAAAATCTCTCTCACGTGTTGGTGCATAGCGTTGCAGTCACTCTGTTTGCACACATCAAAAACGATGGATGAACATCATCACACACAACAGTTGCTTTGTCCTGGTAGGAGTGCAGGTTAACTTAATACCGAGAGCCTCGCTAGAGGCTACAGAAGTGAACTCGCACACCATAATCCTGCCCTTGAGTACCCGGCCTCCGACTGTAGTGGGACGGGCAGGAAATTTCCCCCACAATCATCAGTTAACAGTCTCTGAGATCTGTGTGTGAACCCTTAATGTACAGAAGCCAACAAGAAATCCACCGCTATATACAACACTTGTCTATAGCATTTGCATACAGCATTTCAGTTTTCTCGGGTCATTATTTGCATGACCGTAGACTGAATTGCCCTTTTACACTAAGCTTTTCGTTTACACTCTTTTTTGTCTTGCTCATATGCTCTACAGCTTTGTATGAAAGATCATTAGGAAGGAATTTTCGAGGACAGCTAGGCCTGTGCCTATAATTCTTCCAACTCGACTGACCAGTGAGTGACCTCTCAGGGGTGCATCTGAGCACCAGCAAAACTGTTACGAGCGTGCACAGGCCGAAGAATCGTTCAGGCACAGCACCGAGGCATCGTTTGTCTGCCCGTCAAACCTTCTTTCCCCCGTTGCTAGGTTGTTTCTCCCCTCCCTTCCCATATCCCAAAAGTCTTTCTGGTAATGCAGAATTAGGCATGTAGAAAACTCTATTTGCCACTCGTGCCTGCAACCTATGCAGCCTGGTGAAACAGCCCAGGAACAACCAATGGTTCTGGGTTTACACGTAGCAACCCATTTAAAACAATCCAGAATTCGCAACCCAACAACCACCCCTGGATTTTCTTTCTGGGCTGTTGTGGTCAAACTGTGGTGTTTAGCTTGGCTCAGTTTGCTTATCACGACAACCCAGAATTCAGTAACTTATGGGATAAATAAACCATGGGTTATTATATGCAGAAATGAAATAAATATGCAAACCAGGTCAAGGCATTCAGCTAAAGGGCTTCTGTAGCTTTTGTGCGGCAGAGAGATGATTTTTTTTAGTTTTCTTTTCTAAGACCACAACCGGGTGCTTGGTTTGTGCTTCATGTTTACAAAGACCAGCGGTGGAAAACCACAGTGAGATGAGCTGCACTTGATGTGAAATTTACACTCGGCAATTGTTCCCTATAGTCAGCTTCTGACAACCTGTGTTTCGAGATGGAGGTTTTCCTTCTGGCCTCTGCATATATTTGCCAAAGTTTCCGAAAACTTGCCTTGCAACCACAAATCCTGGCTATCCCCTTGGAAGTAAAGAGGACTGAAATAGTCAAGAGACGCGTATTTAGCGGAGAACAAGGCACCACAGGGGCTGTTCAAGCGCATGCTGCTGCTGGAAACATGGCAGCCATCGAGGGCAGCACAGAACTGTGGGGAGAGCTGCCACACGCAGCAACAAAGGCCGCGGCTCGGGTTCAACTGGCGGGTGTTGCAGCTGCACCGCTGGCCAGCTACCCCACAGAGGCCACTCTGCAGCTGAGGCTGGCTGCGCTGGAGAGGCCGATGTTAACCGCCTTCGTTCCACTGCATGGGGGACGCGGGGCGGGGAACGGCCCGTCCACCTGCGTGTGGCTCAGAAAGGAACGATTCTTGCACATTTTTCACTAGACAAACTGCGAGGCTGGGTAGGCAGGCAGAAATCTGGGGGACTGGGACGTTCTCTGTAGTTAGCTAAATGAAATAACTCATACTGGTAGCACCTTAAAGATGCTAGCTGATTAGGTGCATAAAGGGGGAGGCCTTAAAGCAGGAGACCAGGGGTTAGAGAATGACCCCGAATGCAAACTGTGGCCCATGCACACACACACACACACACACACACACACACACACACACACCGCAATACATTGTAACCGAAATTAATCTGTTTAATGACAGCACCGAGATAGCAACGAAGGTCTCAACTCCCTGAGGAAAGCATGGTCGTGTAGGAGAAAATGCGAGACGCACTGTCGGTGACGGGACTTTAAAAACAAAGGGCGCACAAGCCAGCCCGGGCCGTCTCCTCCGCTCGCAAATAGAGTACAATCACACATTGTCGAGGGAAGAATGGGGGCAAGGCAGATCTTGACTGGGCGAGTCAACATTTTTCTAAGTAGTGCTGTACAGAACTGCGTTCCGGCCAAAGGCCTCAGAAGCAAGAGGTTCAGGGCTGCAGTTTCCTAGATGCCAACGTATAGGAATAAATCATTCTATTTGCTGCTGATGGCTAGAAAACAGCTGCTTTCTGAAAGTCATCTGTTGAAAACCCTGCCAAATGCTCTGGTAAGAAGATGCGCATGCAAGCGTTGCTTTCAGGGAGGTTTTTCACATGGGAAACCAACATTTTAAAAAGATGTTACAATTGCTGCAGCAGCCGTTTCCTTTCCAGTAGAGCAGATGCACAGTTGTTGGTAGCACAAGGTGCCCACATGCCATGGCGAATCCCTCCTGCGCAGAGCCCGGTGGCATGACTCGAGCGGTGCGGTGGCCCCACCTCATGCTGGCCTGCCAGGAAGTCCTGGGGCACAGTATGCAGCCTTCTGCGATATCCAGAGAAACGGAATCTGCTCAGGAATGCTTAGTGCTTTCCCCGTCACCCACAGTTACACACAGGCAACCCCCCCCCCCGAGCAGTTTGGGATCCACAAGGCACTTTGCTGGGGTGGCAGCAGGAAATTCAGTTGTGTGGCTCCTGGTGGTCGGTGTGACAGGGCAGGACAGTTGACCCAAGCACCCGTCAATGGACAAATAGCGCGTCCTTTCAGTGTTTTGTTGAAGAAAGCTAGATGGACCCTCTCAGAGAGCTAGAACCTGGTTATGAGGAAACGATTCCCATAACAAGCAGGGAGCCTCAAACAGAAACAAAGGCTCAAAATCCTGAGAGAGCCAAACCAGGCCGTGAGGTATGGCTGCTATTTTTTGCTTTACATTTTTGCTTGGAGTATTCTCAGCCCAAACGAGACTAGACTTTTGTCACTGGAAGAGGTACAAATGCTGCCACTTTAAAAAGAAGGAACCGTAACACAGGGCAAAGAACTGAGGCAGGGGTGGTGCAAGGAGCATTACCTTTCTGGCCAGCAGAACGGGGACCCTGCAGAATGCCGAGGTTTTCCTCTCCCTGTGCTTTAGGTCCTTGCGCTCCAATGGCCTGCTGTGATTTTTCTTTTCTAGTGTACAGAAGCGGCAACTAGCAACAAACACACCCACTTGGACTGGCAAGATCCAGTTCAGTAGTGCTAATTCATTACTTGGCACCACGTTGTGCGAAGCTCCTGAGATGGATGGAGTGTGGCAAATCAGGTCCCTTCAACGTGTCTTTTGCTCTTCTGTCCGGGAGCCAACGGGAGCAAGAATGATCTCTCCAGATGGGAAATTCAGTTCATTCTGAGCAACAGGCCTTTCCTGCTAAGACACTGTGCAGAAACCCTGGAGTTCAACGCTAGAATTACTTCAGATTCATCCAGTATGGTTAAAAACCCCACTTTATATCCAAACCATGTTTTTCAAGCTAGTAAGTCCTGCGAGCTGTTGGATCGTCTTCCCTCGGCAGGTGGAGGGGCGAGTCTCAATGTCCAACAGAAGTTCTATCAAGGTGAATGGCAACTCAACTAGTCTCCAAAAATCCACAGAACGTTCACGCCAGATAAGCCGAGATTGACCCGCCTGCAAACACAGTTCAGACATGTTATATCGGTAGACAAAGCTACATCACTTATGGTTGTGTTTTTAAAACTTCAGCTGATGTTAAGACTTTCACAAATTCTTTGGGTGTGTGGGCCCTTGATTTGATCCTGCACAGATCCATATTATGTTCTTACAAAATGGTCCAGTCTAAATCAGGACGGAGGAGAAAAAGCCTTTCTGATGCTTAAGGGCCAATTCCCGTTTCTCAGGGGGCAACATAAATTTGTTCTCGAAAGAAGCCTGAATATTTTTTAAAGAATTTTCTTCGGTACAAAAAGGTTTGCTTTTCACCAGAGCTAAAAGGAATAAACAGCATTAAAAAGTCCCCCATTTAGTTTGACCGCATGCAGGTAACCTAGGTAATGGCAGGAGACGGAAAGGAAGGGCAGAAACCATGAATGTAATTAAGTGCAGCATTATAGAGCTGTGACTGCACGGGGTGGAAATTATTTGCATACGTTCATGGCTTCTGCTCAAGCTCTTTCTGCATGTTTCGTGGAATGACAAGCCGCAAGAACAAAATTAGCTCTCCCCTTCCCCTTGCCTCACCCCATGCCCAAAGCTGTGGCTGCTGCTTTGTGTGGAAAGAAGGAAATATATTTTATATTTTTATTTATTTTATATTGTTAATTTTAATTTTATATTGTTATTTTTGTATTTTATTGTATTTGTGTTTGTAAGCCACCCCAAGGCTTCGGCAAGGGGCGGCATAGAAATGTTCTAATAATAATAATAATAATAATAATAATAATAATAATAATAATATAGCCATATTAAAGGGCGCCAAGCTACCTGTTCTTAGCAACTGCCTGCCTTTCAAGAACAGTTTGGTTTTGACTTTCGGTTTCATTTTAACGGGGCTGAGAAAAGAAGAACACCAGCCTGCGTGTGATCCGCCCTCGTCCGCTTCAGCACTTGGCTCGATCAGGGCCAGAAGCAGCAAATGCAGTTCTGAAACCTGAGCAAGAAGGCAGTTTCCTTCCAGCACGGCTCCCTTCCTTCCCATCTTCTGCCGTTACCTGTTCTCCACCGCTACATTGGGAAGTATAGTGTAGTGGTTAAGAGCAAGGGACTGGGACTCAGGCGATCCGGGTTCGAGTCCCCGCTCAGCCATGGAGCCCACTGGGTGACTTTGGGCCAGTCACAGACGCTCAGCCCAACCTACCTCGCAGGGTTGTTGTTGTGGGGATAAGATGGAGGAGGAGATGTATGCTGCCTTGAGCCCTTTGTAGGAAAAAGGCAGGATATAAATCGAAAAATAAATAAATAAATAAAATAAAGTATTCGGATGTAGGCGCTGCTGGCAGCATGCTGTCAGGCTAAATGGTGGGCACCTCAGACAGAGGGGCTGATCCCCATGCCCGACAGACGTTCTGCTACGGCAAGAGACGAGTCAGCTCGTCTCCAAAAATCCACAGAACATTCATGCCAAATAAGCGCAGGCTGACCTGCCTGCAAACGCAACCCATACGCCTCATATTGGCCGACAAAGTAACATCATCCACTGCTACTTTTTTAGCATCGCTTCCATCTTTGGGGAGTCCTGCTATAGGGTGCTATAGAGTCCTGCTATAGGGTCAACCCTTCCCCTACCCCATCCCCACACTCCACACATCTGCACATGTCTTCTTTCCCCTCCCATCCAGATGTGAGGAGATGCATCCTCTTGAAAGGACCGTACTAGTTCTAGACCATCCCAACTGCTATGAAAGGCAAATGAGTGCAGGTTTCAAAGCCACGGAAAGACAGGAAAGAGGCGCAGAAGAGCCGGAGCGGGCTGTCCCCCACTTCAAGGAGCTGCAGGAATGGCCGCACCAGCAACGCCCCCCGCCTGCCCCTCCCCAGGCAAGAGAGAGCTGCCCAGTTCGGCTCCGAGCAGGAACGCCACGGACACGGTACCTACCCGAGCATCCCCGACTCTTTGGTCTTTATGATGTACAGGAACATAAGCAAGGTGTGGAACAAGTTGTTTCTGCCCTGAAGTCAGAGACAAAAGGAGCGAGAACAGGTGAAAGGGGTCACATGGCAAGGATTCAGGCAGGCAGGCAGGCAGGATCCACCTGCGTTTCAGGTGTCTTGCTACTTGGTCCCAAGTTGCCACGAGCTGTTCATGAGGGGCTCGTCCATGAGCTTTGCCAAATAACTGTGGCCATCTTTTATGGTTCTGCAGGCTTCATAATCCTGCCTTGTGTTTACTGGATCGTCTGCTATAGTATCCTGATTACTAACAGCAAATTCATTCTGAGTGCAGATTCCTACATAGGTCAAAGACTATTGGAGCATGTTTACCCCATCCTTTACAAGAGTCTCAGGACAGTGATCAAAGTAGTAGAGGCAACACACAATAGAATGTACATCTAATAAAGCCAATATTAAAATCACAATTAACTCTTAAAATACCAAAATGAAAAAAGGGTCGGCATCAGGCACACCTTTCTGAGAAGCAGGTTACAGAGCTGGGCAATCACTGCAGAAAAAGCTCTTTTCCAGGTAGCTACTCTTCTGATCTCCTTCGAAAGGGCTCCCAAAGCAAGACCTCAGACACGGACCTTAAGGGGTTGGGCAGGTGTATAAGGAAGGGGATGTACCTTCAGATACCCGGGCCCTAAATCATTTAGGACTTTATACATCATCATTAACACCTGGAATTGGTGTTAATGCACAGGAGGGAAGTATCAGAAGACTCAATAAAACCTGAGCCTTGTAGACACACAGAAAATCTTTAGGAGGGGGAACCCAAAGCAGTCAAGGGAGACCGAGTGACTCCCTTCACAGGAGGGGGAGGTGAAGTGGGGAGTGGACAGGCCTTCCTGGAAAAGGGGCTGGTTCTCTGGCACCTGGACAGGAGTGTTCCAGGCCGCCAACTCCAAGCGTGGCACAGGCCCCACCTGTCACTTAAAAGCATTCTCAGGGTGTGCAAACTCTGGACTCGCAACTCCTTCTTAGAGATAAAGCTCGAAAGGTGGGGAAAAGCCTTCATGGAGCTACTGCACCCGGTCTGTCCGCCGCCCACTGAGGTCTCCCTAGCAGCTCTCGGCTCCCTCTTCACCTGTGCTCAGCGCTGCTCAGAAGGAAGGGGTCGAGACGCAGCCACCAATTTCCTACCTTGGGCAGGTTGTAGACTTGCCGCTGGTAAATAAGCTCATAGTGAGGAGGGCTGATGCTGCTCTGGTAGATGCAGAACAAGTTCTCGTTTGAAATGTCTGCGAATCACAAATCCAGATTTTGCCTTCAGGCTTGTGTATCTTTTGCTCCAGGCCAGCAGAGAGCCCTCTGCCGGGTGGAACTCTGCAGGCCGGCCAGGACCTCTGCGCATGCACCAGAGGAGTAACTCCCATCCGGCTCATGAAGGTGTTTTAAGGGCTCGTTACCTGGCTTATCAGGCGTCTGAATGAAATGTTGGGAGGTGAAGGTTTTGCCATCCGGGTATTTTGGGTGCGGGGGCAGCCTGGCGTCGAGGTATGTGCAGAACACGTGCATAACGATCTGCAGGGAGACAGGAGAGGGAGCTGAGTGCCCACCGCGGGCATCCCAAGCCACGAAGGAAGTCAGGCTGGTTGGAGCTGCACACCCAACCTGTGTCTCTCCCCTTGCAGGTATGCACCTTCCAAGTCCACCTTTGAATGCACAGAGAACTCTTTCCTGCAGACTTTGAACACCTCAGCTGGAGGTGTGCAGGAGCCGGATGTGGCAACAGCAGGGCTAGGACCCCCCGCCTGCAACCCGTCTGCACATTTATCCAATGCATGGAAGGAGTTGCTGGTTCCCCACTCTTAAAAGGGGTTGTGTGAATGCGTGCAGGCATGTACAAAATGAGAGAAGCACATCTGCCAAGCTGATACAGCCTCCCCATTTTCTAGTCTGATTCTGGCTAAAGTACTCCTAAAATAAGAACCGCTTTTCCAATCAAATCTACATTTCTCGCTAGCTGACTTGGAACAGAGCTCCCACTGAAAATCTTGATAGGGATTGGGTGGGTACAACTGCCCCAAAGTTTAATCCTCTTTGCAAGCTTGGGCTTCAGGAATCATGTGGAAGAAAGCTGGTGTGGACTAATGGGGAAAAATATTGGGAACCTTACACAAACAGAAAGAACACAATTCTCTCTTTTTGCATTGGAAAATGAGATGGAATTTCCAAAGAGTAGCATAAAACTCATGCAAACTGAGTAAGATAACCAGTGATCAGCTGAGACCACGGCGGCAAAGATCGTATGATCAAAACGCCCAAGCAGAAACCAGATGCGCCCCCTGCTTCTCAGCACTGGGCTTATTCACAACAGACAGCGCACAAGACTTACGGCAGAATCCGTTGGCAAATCAGTGTCCCACTTGCGTGCTTTGAAGTCCCCGCCTCGATTCCACCTGAATGAGCTCATACACCCTCCTTGAGAAAGCTCTGTGAGTTGACAGAAACACGGTTTTGTGGCAGGGAGAAGAAATGGCAAGTCAAGCCAAGCGATACGCAGTTGGTTGCCACTGCACAGGGAAGGTGGGCGCATAAGCAAAATATCAACAGGCTGAATGTGCCGGAAGCGGGTGCAAGGCGGAGACTAGCAAGCTCTGGGCCCGTCGACTGCAGCCAGCACAGCCCATTATGAGGGTGATGTAGGGGCCACGAGTTCCCCTCCTCTGGTGTGAAGCGATGCAGCGCTTGAGGCTTCCGAGTCACACGCTGGGAACAGGCCAAGGAAGCAGACATTCTACCTCCGATCCTTGTTCCAGAGTGTGGATTGGTCTGGTTTCAACAGAATGAAGACATCAGCAGCATTCAGCGCTGTACGGTTAATCTGTGTAATTACTTTATTTTATTTTCAATATTTGTACACCGCTCCGTGTCTAGACACATTTTGGAGTGGTGAACAACAAAGAGGCAAAAGAGATTAGAAGAAAAAAATGGATTAAAAACAGGCCAGCATTAAAATTGTGGCTGGTCAGCAAGGGAGACGTCCTGGGACAGAGGAGCGTTCTGCAGGTGCCCAGAAGCACCGTTATGGTGTGACGCCCCTACCTTTTCCCGAGAACAGGAATCTTGCTGGCACCAGAGAACCCTACGTTGTTCGGTGCTAGCTACAGCTAATGCACGAGTGCGCACAGACTGCTTCACGCTGCGAGATGACCAGTTACCTTTGATCCTTTCAACCAGGTATTCCTGGTTTGGTGTGAGGTCCAGGTACTGCACTATCGTGTTCAACGTAGGAATGAGTGGAGCTTTCACCAGGGCTGCTTGCTTCAGGCTGCTGATACTGGCGTCTGCAGAAATGCAAGACCGTAAGCCCCTGAACCGAGAAACGCCTCGGCGATCCAAGGGGCCCTCACAGTGGCGCGCTGCTCGTCTCGAGTGGCTATTTCTTGCTACAAAAATATGCAAATCCATTTGCATGGTGCCCAGAAGAGCAGCATCTCACTTCATCTCTACCCCTAAACGGATTTGAACAGTGCGTCCACTCTGGGAAGCTGCTTAAGGGCCTCAGAGCTCCTGTCTTACAGGAGATATGGAACAATAAAGGAAGCTCTAATTGCAGAAGGAATCCACAGGGAAAAGCATCTCTCTCTCTCTGAGCATCATGGGAATTGTAGTCACAGCTTTTAGCAGTAAAAGGAACAAAGGTATACAGCAAGCAAGCTGTCCAGCCAGTCCACTCTCTACCATTCCTGGAAAGTGTTTCACGGTTGCTGTTACAGCTTATTTTTTCCTCATAGCACTGGGAATGCCCAGATATTACCAAAGAATTAAAGCACTGGGTCACTTCACCCAATTTAATTAATTTACGTTATGTTAGATATTTGTATTTTTTGTGTGTAAGCCGCCCTGAGGCTTTTGCAAAGGACGGCATACAAATATCTTAAATAAATAAATCCATTTCGACAGTGCTGCTAGTTTCTCTTTAAGCATTTGTTTCTCGGATCCAGATACGAAGGGCCAGAGAACGCCGTTTTGTGTTGTTAGCATACCTCCCATTTGCAGCTCCGGACACCCCATTCTCCGCAGCTGAGTGCTCACGGAGTCCATCTCTTGCACAAGAGGCACCAAAATGGTCTCATTGATCCACTGAGGGAGGGAGGGAGGGAGGGAGGGACAAACCAAGAAACAAAACTTGTAAGCTGAAGGAGCAGGGCCACCAAAGAACCTTTCCAATGACAATCGAGAAGCAAAGACAACAGAAGCAACAGATTCTCCCTGCTCCAAAAACCAAACTGATGGATTTGGAGGAAAAATGCTTTCATTTCTTAACCTAATCACTATTTTGACAGAGAAATGATTTCTTTACCATCATTTTTAGGCTCTGGGAGAACCATGCTCAGCTTTTTCCAGGCATAGATAATAACCACAGAATAAAACAATCTTGCCCAGCTGTTTAATACCATCTGAGCCTTAACCATACTACGACCTTCAACAGAATATTAAAATAGGGGTGCAGTGTTCCTATGTTCTACATTTTCCCTGAATTGTAAACCAGTGGGAACTTAAAAGCATTATGTATCGGACATGCACGCCCACCTTCCTAGCAAAAATGATACTAAAAGACAGCTTACAATCACCAGTAAGAACTGATGAAACATAGCAGAACAATTAAACACACAATAACAGAGGAAAGACAGCCTCCAACCTGGCTGACATGCCAAGAGTTTGCTTAAATAAGGCGGCTTTGCCTGCCAGCTGGAGGGCAGTGAAGAGGAAGCAAACCTGGCTGCCCTCAGCAGGATGCAACCATCCTGCTCCTCAGCACCGCCACCAGGCGCAGTCTCAAAAGAAGAGCTCTCTAGAAATGCTAAGGACCAGGCGGACCCGTTCGGAGAAGGTGGTCTGTCTACACGAAGCGCTGCTCCGGTGGTTAAGACTTTACTGCAAACTTTTCGGCCAGATCAGAAGGAAACTCTTTGGGAAATCCTGAACAGTGAATGTGGCATGATCTGGTTTTCAGACTTCAGTTCTATTAGGGAAACCAATTTCAAGCAGCCGCTACTGCCCCAGATCTAGTTTATTCAGAGTATTGTTTATAACTGCATACTTACAGCACAAAGCTAAATAAAAGGTCAAGAAATGAGCCAGTATGGTATGTACTGCTGCTGCTTCCTTGAAAGTGTGGATTGTAATGAACTTTTATTGTTTTTAGTGCTGTAAGTCACCTGGAACGGTTTGCAGGAAAGATGGACTACCAGAGATTAATGCGATTCCTGGGCCGTCTCCCAGCCAGACAATCCACAGGGCAAAAGTCAGATTTACTTAGAACTGTCACGGATGATTTCAGCTTGGCCCAGCGAATAAGCTGGGTCATCTCTACGCAGCTGAGGCTGGTCACCTTTCCTGAAATCACACTTCACCGGCAACCACAAAAAAAGCCATCCAGGCCGAGGGAGCCATCTGGTGCCAAAAGGTTAAGGGCAGAACTCACGTTTCTAAATTTAGCCGTCCAAGAGTCCATGTGATCAAGCAGTTGTCTGCTCATCGACACGCGAGCCCAAACCTGTGCCAGAGAACAAGGAGGCTTAGCCAAGGCAGCTCCATGCAGGAGGAGAGACGGAATCGGACCATCCTCTTGAAACGGAACCAGCCAGTCACAGATGCTCAGCAGGAGATTAGGGAATGGGGCTGAGCACCTGCTGTGCTGACGGGAGGCCGCAGGATTCCTTCCCCAGGCAGGGCGAGGAAACTCACGCTTAAAATGAGGTGCAGAATAGAGCTGCCAGGTTGCTGACGGGGACTGGGCGTTGTTCTCATATAACCCCAGTCCTCCGTCAGCTTCACTGGCTCCCCATTGAGTCTGGGCCCAATTCAAGGTGCTGGTTATTACCTATAAAGCCCTTAATGGCTTGGGACCTGGTTACCTAAAGGAGCGCCTGCTTCCTTATTTGCCCTCCCGGCCTGAGATTGGCGGCAGAGGCCCTTCTCCAGGAACCCTCCATGAAAGATATTAGGAGGGTGAGTACCCGGAGGAGGGCTTTCTCTGCGGTGGCGCCCAACCTATTCAACGCGCTCCCCAGAGAGGTCCGCCCTGCACCGTCATTATTTGTTTTTTGGCGCCAGGCCAAGACCTATTTATTTAAACATTATTCTAATTAATTGTTGATTATTTATTGGTTTTATATTATTTGCCAGGATGTTTCCAGTTTTTATGTAGTTGTATTGATATTTATTTGTTGGAAGCCGCCCCAAGGCTTATGCGAATGGGGCGGCATATAAGAATTCCAAACAAACAAACAAACGAATCAATCCCCAGGAAAGCCAAGGTTAGTCACTCAAGACTGGGCTAAACCCACCAGAGAACTGTCTTGGGACACGGGAGCTTCTGAAGGCGCCATGAAATGCGGCCCCCACCCTCTGGGTGCCCCCACCCTCCCAGTGGGTGCTCTTTCTGTGCATGTGCACTTGAGGGTCAGAGTCAGGATGTGGTGGCCCTGGAGAGCACTCAAAGGCCGGCCGGCTGGCCTTTTCCTTGCCGGTGCCCCGTTTACCTCTTCCGCAGCTTGCTTGGAGCTCAGGTCAGCTTCATCTTTGTGGGCCGAGGGGGCCTGGGACCTGCATGCCGGCTGGTACTGGAATTTCCTGAGCATCTGTGCGTAGTCCACCATGGAGCGGCTGTAGTTCCAGAAGGTTGGGCTGCTGGAAGGAGAGCTGGAGTCGGAGCCTCCTGCAATCAGCCGGCCAGAAGCACAGAGCAGAGGGAAATGGGTTGGCACCTCCCCGAAAGCGTCGGCCGCCCGTGCAAAAGGGTGACCCGGACGAGGGGCAGGGATGCTTACCCAGCTGGGCACGGTGCTGCTTCTCTTCCTCGCTTCGGAGGAAGCTGTCGAGGGACTTGAGATCGGTCATGTAGTCTTCCTTGCCCACAGGGGAACTGTAGACCATGGGTGAGGTGCGGTATCGTGACCTGATCCCGCTGCTTTCCATGGGACCGACGCTGGTGGGGTACGGGGCGGATGCTGGGGACACGCTGAATGGTGGCACCTACATGGAACCACAAGGAGTGAGAGCTCTCATCCAAGAACGGAGACTTCAGGGGGTCACAGAAGCAGTATAAACCGATCAAGCCCGACACAGCTTGGGACCAGGATACCTGAAGAAACATCTCCTTCCCTATATGCCCCCCCGCCCCACCCCACCCCACCCCTTTAGATCAGAGGCAGAGGCTCTCCTCCAGGAACCCTCCTTGGAGGAGGTTAGGAGAGCGAATACCCAGGGAGGGCCTTCTCTGTGGTGGCGCCGTCTGTGGAATGCGCTCCCCAGAGAAGTTCGCCTGGCGCCAACGTTCAACTCTTTTTGGCGCCAGGTAAAAACCTTTTTATTTGCCCAGCATTTCAATATTTAAATTTTTAAACCAGTTTTCAGTGTTATGCTTAGACATACTTCACCTCATTTTATTTTATTAGGTTGGTTGTATTTCTTGTAAGCTGTCCTGAGACATTGTTGAGGACGGGGTAAAAATACTGTCAACCAACCAACCAACCAACCAACCTGCCTGTCAGTGGATGGTGAAGCAAGGGGCACAAAATTCGATCTCAGATATTCTGCTTCTGCATTGCCAAAGGGTACGCTGGCGTAACGCGGGGCCGCCGAGCACAAAGGAAAGCTGGGATTAAAGCCAGTAAGGGGAAGAGCGGCCATGTTCTTACGTCAAAGCTCAGCCCTGCACCAAGCAGGTCCCCCTTTTCAGCCTGCGATCGGGGGACGGTTTACAGCACACAGACTGCTCCGAGCGCCCAGAAGCACAAATCAGAAACAAAAATTAGCGTTATACAGGCAAAGAGCTGAATGAGACGCTCGGTACCTTGTTGTAGCCGCTGCCCGGGGAGTAAGTCATAGCGGCACTGTAAGACCCACTGCTGCCAGGCAGAGTCTGAAGCTGGGGGCTGTAGCCAGACATGGTAAATTTGGGGCTGGCACTAGGCGAGCGGGAAGGGCTGTAGCTTAAAACACTCTGGCCCTGGATGGGGGAAGAGGGTGTCGACGGAGGGGTCTTCTTTGGCACCAGTTCACGTGGTGGAGTCGTCTGGACAGCTGCAATTAAAGTCGGGTTAAGAACTGAGGGAAGAGTTGTGGGCGAAAAGCTGGCAAGAAGTTGCCTTTGAGGAAGCTTCTGTAGTGAAAAGCAACTTACTGCAGGTTATTTCCTTGGAAAACAACAAGTTTGCCTGTGTTCACTCAGCCAACAGTTCTCCTTCGAATTGAAACCTTTGCATACACACAATATCTTAATATACTGAGAGACCCACCCATCCATTCTTATTTTAAATATACAATTAGAGAGCAAGAGATACCAAGCTGTTCCTTCCATTTAACACTGTTATATTAGAGAATAAACTCCTTCACATCCTATTATGATCTGTGAAATACACGATTCTTATCGGGTGTCAGCAATACGTCACCTCCACTGATATTTGCTTAGGTGCTCCAAACATTTTAGAAGGTTGGCTGACCTGAATCCTTTAAAAAATTTTAAGGCCCTTTAAAAATACCAGCAGAAGACTCTCACCTGCGTTCTGTAATCCGAGAAGGGTTTGCTGTCCAGGACTCATAACCAAGCTGGTTGGGGCCACAGTGTATTTAAAGTACCTCCAGAAATCAAATAAAGCATTGAGACTGAACAAAGATGCGAATGCAAGTTCTAGAAGTAGAAGAAAACGCAAGATTATAATAACTGTCATTGATTAGATTTATATCCTGCCTTTTTTCTTACAAGGAACTTAAAGTGGCTTGCAACATTCTCCTTCCTCTGCTCTGGCTTATCCTCACAACAACCCTGCAAGGTAGGCTGGGCTGACAGGCTGTGACTGGCCCGAAGTCACCCAGTGGGCTCCATGGCTAAGAGAGGGGTGGAACCCAGATCTCCTGAGCCCTGGGGTCCTGCGCTCTTAAGCACTATTTCACACTGGCTGTAATATGATCAACACTGGCCATAATGAACAACAGCACATATATAATTGTTGATTATGCTTATGAAAATGAAAGGGATAATCCGTACAAGACAGGTGAGCAGGAGGAGGGGGCTCTGCAGGTTTGCAAGGAACCGGTGCTATGCCTGCACCCTCGGCTGGATGAACAGCAAACACAGGGACAAGGTGACCTAAAAGCAGCAAAATGCTACCGGAGACATTCACACAACACAACAGCCTGCTATGGGCTGCTTAGCCCATGGCGCAGTTGTAGAGCATGTGCTAAGTGCAAAGTTTAATATGCATGGATTAAAGGTAAAGGGTTCCCCTTGACGTGAAGTCCAGTCATGCCTGACTCGAGGGGGCGGTGCTCAGCTCCGTTTCCCGGCCGAGGGAGCCAGCGTTTGTCCGCACACAGTCTCCGTGGTCGTGTGGCCGGCATGACTGAACACCGAGGCGCACGGAACGCTGTTACCTGCCCACCGAAGTGGTGCCTTTTCACCTACTCGCACTTGCATGCTTTCGAACTGCAAGGTCGGTGGGAGTTGGGACGGAGCAACGGGAACTCTCCCCATTGTGCAGATTTGAACCGGCGACCTTTCGATCAACCGGCCCAGCAGCACAGCAGTTTAAACCCCTGCGCCACCTGCAGCCCCCATGCATGGATTATACAAGGGTAAAATTACCCATATTTGCATAAACCCAAGGTTTATTGTACAACGCAACTCCCCCCGGGGGGGGGGGGATAGGCGATACAGAGTGTGGACTATGTGCCCGTGATAAATAACGCACAAGAAAGTCACAGTATGTTGTCTAAACCAGGTCAAAGAGCCAGCCCCATCCAAACGTCACAAATGGGGACATGCCCAGTCTAGAAAATCAGCTTCTACGTTGTTCCAAAGATTCGCAGGTATAGCAAGAAACTTACCAATATACCAGAGTAACCAGCATGAGATATTATAATAGGAGCTTATTAGTTTCCCAGACCTGGAAAGGCAGAGAAAAAAATGGTCAGGCATAGCTTTACAGCACACATACTGCTTGATCTTCGGTTAGTTACAATTCATAGCTCAGATTATACTCACAGTGTCTCCCCCCCCCCACCCCGCCCCCCACCCCCAATGCAGCTAGAATACAGAAACAAACCATCCACCCAGGGTGAATTCCATGGTGCAAAAGGCCCCTGAGCTTGCAGACACTACCCATATTAGTGTCCTGGTTTTCTTCTCTTCTGGTCTGACAGGAAGGTCTTCTATCCAAGCTGCTTGTCCCCAAACCCAACACCCATCCAACACGCCAGTAACACCAGGTGCACTGAGAATTTTCCACTTCACCTGAACACGCTCTTGTCCTTCACATATCCCTAGATTCACTTAGTACGCAATGCAGTCAGGGAACCAGCCCCACTTACATTTCCGTATAAATCATGCCAGCAACTGACAGGTTAAGCAGCCCCCACGCCAACACCACCTTCCGCGCTTCTGTTTCCTTCCTCATCTTGATGGTTCTGTCAATGAGGGAAGCAGCCGGGCTTTGTTCCCCTTGCATTGCCTGGAAACCAAAAGGATGGGAAGACATGAGAGCATTTACGAGACCTTTCTTCCAGTGCCGGGTCAAAGGCATTATCCACGCTTAGACGGGGAACTTCTGCAACTGCCAGCACCCCACTATTTAAAAAGGAGAGTCAGAGGCCAGGAGACAAAGCGTTTGCCATCACAGCGTTACCTTTAAGGCTCCGGGCACGATCCTGTGCAGGTCTATACAGGAAGCAAAACGCTACTGCACAGGTGGCTGCAGAATGCACGGCACAGCGGGGCTTGGGATCACGTCCCACCTTCCTCCATCTCTCCCCGTCAGATTCTCCGCCGCCAGCTCCGAGCCCTTGCGCTTCGAGAGCGCCACGCGCGCCGTTCGCCCCCCGCCGCCCCCCCCCCCCAAGGCAGGTCGCTGGCTGGACCTGCCACCGACCATTGCACGCTGCGGGGCCTCGGGCTGCACCAGCCTCTCCCACATGCAGGCCGCCAGATGCGCGGATGACAACTCCCATCAGCCACACAGCTAAGGAGAGGCTGCCCTTCCGAAGCCTGGCGCCCTCCAGGTGTGCTCGACTACAAGTCCCATAATCCCAGGCCGGCTGCGGGCGATGGGGGGTGTAGTCCTGGGCATTTGAAAGGAGGGGTGCAAGAGGGCCTTTCCTCTGCTACGCACCCGGGGGGATCAGCCCCCCACCCACCGGAGGGGCAACGACGCCCCCGCGACCGCCACTTACGCCGCCAGAACACGCGCTTCCCGCTCCCGGCGCGCCTGCGCAGTGCACCGCCTCCTTTTTTAACGTCAGAGGAAAGACGCGTCTCCGGAGGAAGAGGAGGGGTGGGGTCTGTTGCCGGGACGACGGAGGACGGAAGCGCGGGTAGGCGGCTGCTCTCGTGCTCCGCTTCGATTGGGTCGCGCCTCTCCCCTCCCCCTCCCCCTCGCGCGGCCTGTCCCTTTGAAGTTTGGGCGGGAAGGCGGCCTGTCCCGGCGGAGCCGCGCCATCATTCCCTTGATTTCGCTGCCTGGCTGGGACCCGCGCAGTCCCTCAGCGTGACCCCGAGCGGCAAAATAACTAAAGCAAAGCCACCCGAAACAATTCAAAATCCGCAATGCGGCCCGTAAAGCCTAAGGAGGGGTTCCGACGACCTCAACTGCTTGCGCATTTTTGTAGAACTTGGTTGGTCCCGAAAAAGGTGCCGCCCGCCCGATGGCGGATTTTGGATTAGTTTTGCCCTCATGGACCAGCGTAGCTACTTTTTGAACGCTACCTTGATAACTAAAATCAATCGTTTAATTTTCATTAAAATGAAGACCTATGTGCTGAAGTGGGTAGAACTGCATATAAGACTTAGGAGAACAGGTTTCTAGTCCTCATGGAGGCCATGAAGCTCCCTGGGTGACTTTCATCCAGTCACTTGACAGTCTGATTGGCTGCACAGAGTTGTTGAGATAAAATGGAGAAAACTACCCTACCCCAGGATCCTTGTAAAAGAAAAAAGGCAGGATATCATCATCATCTAAGAATATAAGATCTCTGCTGGATCAGACGGGAGGATCCATCTAGCACATCCTCCCTATAGTGGCCAACCAGCTGCCCACTGAAAGCCCACAAGCATGACAGTGCCTCCGCACTCTCCCACCCATGTTCCCCAGCACCTGGTGCATGTGGCTGGTTTAAAAAGCCATCAGGCTTGGCAGCCACCGATTGCCTTCTCTTCCAGGAATGAAGACAACCCCCTTCTAAAGCCAAGCATCATTACATCTTGTGGAAGTGAGTTCCATGGGCTCTGTGAGCAGGTACTTTTTATCTGTCCTTCCCATTTAAACAGTTCAAATTATACAGACACTGAGCAGGACTCGAAACAAGAACCAGCAGCATAAAACTTGCATGCAGGAGATTTTTACAAGCTTGAGTTCTTTGCTGGGCATGGAAACGGATGGATGCCCGGCAAGCCTTCTACAACTGGGGTGTCACCACCAAGCAGGTCCTTTCTTCCATAGCCACCTGCCACCCGAAGAAAAGCAGAAAGGCCTTTTGTTTAGGAACTTCTGGCATAGGCAGGCGCATGTGGAGAAATATCCTGAAAGACAAGATCAAATCCAGCACTTAGAACAGGCCAGAAGCAAACAGAGAGCTAGTCCAGTGGATGTGATCTTAGTGCCCAGGGGAATGCAAGGGCAGCTTCGAAGGGAGGGCAGCGGTGCTCACGGTATCCTGAGCACAGGCCTCGCAGGATCAGGGAGACGACTGGCACGCCAGACCCAGCCTGGAAGCAGAGTGGGAGCCAGTCACGTGGGCACCACCCTGGGATGATTGAGTCGGATCATCCTGCACCAGGTTCGATATGGGCTGCTGCATGCTGGACCGACAGACCTTTCTGGGCTTTTTTCAAAGCAGCCCCACAAAGAGTATCACAATATAATCTGCATTGTGCTTTTATGAGCGATGGATAAGTTCCACTGACGATCGCATATTGTACTTGATCGTTTTTAGAATAAGCAACCCTGGATATTGAAACTGCGGGATATAATTTGTCTGGAGGAAACCAATGAATGCAGACCCTGGATGCACCCACACAAAAGCGAATTGCGGAACCAGGTGTGGCACCAACGGTTTAGTCGAGCGGGCATTCCTCTTCTGTTCCTTGTTGCCATAGTTCTGAGAATGATGTGAGGTGCGGGTTCTACCCGCCCTGGGTCACAGCATACGCAGTCAACCGATGGCAACGTTTAGTTGCCAGGTATACAATGCCGCCGCCGCTTCTTGCAACTCTCTGCTTCCTCACTTGACGTTTCCTTCCATCTTAAAGAAAGCGGCTATAATGGCGTTCCCCCTGCTCCATCTGTGGTGGCAATATTCAAGCAGAGATGCCGTGGACCCTCTCCCTGAAAAAGATATTCAGTGTGCGGAGGAGGAGGACGACGAGGAACAGATTTGCTGGTTTTTGGGAGAAATGCTATTTCTTTACTGTTTGGCGGTTGCCATTATAAGGATCATCTACCTCGGTGTGAACAAGGTGGGATTCCCTCCCCAGGAGGACTCCCACCCACCGTCTCCTGCGGTTCAGCCCCAACGGTCAGCACGCTGAGAGGGCCGGCTTTTGAGCCTAAGGCTCCAACGAGCCAGCAGGAGCCCCCGGCGAACCTCTCTCCCTCCATTTCGGGCACAGATCTGTGCCTCTTTAGCCCAAAAGAGAAGTCCTGTGACTCTCTAGCAAACCTTCTTCTATCAAAACAAGCATAGGAGTGCCTCCCAATTTGCCATATCGCATTTTAAAGCTAGTGCAGATCTTGAAACAGTGGGTCCCATTTTTTTATGTGCAGGATTTGTATACCGCTCTGCATTCACTGCAGTTCCCAAACAGTGAACAATAAAAAGGAAGGGGGGAATTGTTCAATATTCAGAATTAAAACATGTTTTAAAAAGAGATCATGCCATTCAAACTGTAGCTGGGCAGTCAGGGAAGGCTTGTTTAAATACCGATGTCTTCAGTAGTCAATGAACATGCAACACAATTGTAGAGTTCGCTTGGGAGCGAAACAATGTGCTTTAAACTGTACTCAGAGTGGCTGCCAAACAAGCCACTTGTCTCATGTGATGATGACCTCAGAAACTACTCAGGTTGGTGAGGGAGAAGATATTTGCTCAAATCTCCCCCTCCCAAGTTGTTTAGAACTTTGTACACCCAATTAAAAGAAACAGACATAAGCATGGCCAGAAACAAAAAGGCTATGCACCATCTGAAGAAGGTCTTCCTTGAGTTAGTCCTGAATCTCCATTTTCATTGGATGAGCCCAAGTTCTAGCAGTGCAAGACAAAGCAAAATGTCTCTCCATCCAGCCTCTCTACTACCCAGCGTAACTTTAGAAACCTCTTTCATAGTGTGGCCAGATACAAAAGAGGACAGGGCTCCCGTCCCATTAAGGGCATACTCATTTAGTAACCTTGAATTAGGGGTCACTTCTTCTCAATGGACTGCTGTCTGTATTTTCTGAGCACAGATCCTCAAGAAGCAACACGGAGGAGGAACTTCATGGTGCAATATACTGAAAGATACAAAAGGTAAACATTCATTCGCTTGAAACTGGAATACTTTTTGGTTTTGCCTTCATGCTGGTCAGCAAAGGCAGAGTAACTGATACATTATCCAGATAAAAACAGAACCGGGCTCCTACACCTTGGAAAGGAAGAGGTACCTGGACCAGGCAAATAGCAGGGTTGCGACCTGCCCAGTTTCCCACTTTTCCCTCTGGGGAGCAGCGGGGAGAGGGCTGGGGGTGTCCGGCTGCCGGGCTTGTCTTCTTCTTAAGGAAAGAAAGCACAGTGGAGCCTTCTCTTCTGCCACCGCCACTCCAGCGGTGTTGGCCATGAGGGTCTGGCAGCTGGGCCTCCCTTCCTTGCACGGAAACAATTTTTGTTTCTGTGCACGGCCCTCTCCCTTCTCTGTATGACGACTAGAGTATTCTTCTGTTTTATTGTATTTATTTTAGGGTTATGCTGTCGGGCCTCATACAGCCTAATCTTGAGCATGAATACACAGAATTGCGCCCTACTGCATTCAACGGATGTACCCACAGCAACATGTGCATAGGATTGCAGCCTTATGGGGCAATCCTATGCACACTTGTTTGGGAGGAAGTCTCATGGACCTGATGGGACTTCCTCGCAGGTAGGTGTGCGTAGGATTGCAGCCTTCAACAATATTTGCTTACCTTTTCCACTATATTTTCAACATCGCAGTATTCTGTCACCCCAGTAATTTTGCTTTTCACTTACTCAGAACTCCATGTGCAAGCATAACCCGCAGAACAATCAGGCCTCGGGGGAAATCGAGATGTTCCACTGTGCCATGCGGATCTCCTGTGGGATTCAAAGCACTCGTGTTGGTTTGCAGTCACCAGATCTGCTGAGCAATTCATGCTGTGCATGGGGAATTTGTGACTGGCAGGTCACAAGGCGTTCTCAGGGAGGCATGTGGAAATGATGGCGGAGAAGGAAGATGTCCCCACACACACACACACACCGGCAAACCAGCACAACAAAATGAACTGAAGTCCAGAGCAGAAACTGGAAGGTTTCTCCACACCGGGCACTTATGATTCGCTTGTGATTCTTTGCTCAAGGTCGTTTGCAGGAGCTTTATGCAATGTTATCACCCTCCAGCGCCTCTGGCTGGTCAAGGTTTTTTCAAAGCAAGGCAAGTCGGCTTTGAATTCCTCATCTTGCTTTGAGACACTCCTGAAATTTTCAAATCTGCTTTACCAGTGCTATACCAGAGCACCATCTTGTGGTTCTGTAATGGAGTACAGTATATAGAATGAGAGAGAAATAAAACCCCAGAAAAAATACATGTAAAGGACCAACTCTTAATACAGGAAAGCAAAGGAAGCAAAAATGTTGGTAAACTGGCGGGTTAAAACCTTGGGGTAGAAAAGCCACATCTTGGGTGCTTCCAGTCAAGGCTTTTATCTTGCTATTACCCAACGTCAGTTACAGGATTTTCCAGTGTCTAAATGTTATCATCTTCCACTTACAACTCCCCACTGTTTTGGGCTTGCTAACCACGCTTAGCCTGATCTTCTTGTCATTTTTAAGGAGAAACAGTTGCATTATACCTTCCAATTGATAGTGCCAGGAGTTTTCCATCTTAACACTCCCCAGAACGGCAACCCTAAAGTCCCCCATCTTTATGGACCTGGTCGTACATGTAGGAATTCGACTGACAGCTACAGGCACCACCACAAAATGGCTGCTGCGGAGGATGCAGCCAGTCAAATGGCGGCCACCACGGAGTCCTTGCACTGCTTCCGTTACTCTGTTCAAGAATGAATGTCCTTCATCCCTAAGGAAGGGACAGCATCCTCTGCCAAACCCAAAGGCTCAGGGTGGCTCCGCTTGACCCTCAGAAACACATCCAAATACTTACTTAAGCTTGCGATCTTATGCATGCTTACATGGAAATTACGGTTAATCATTGCCTTTAGCTTGTGTTTATTTCCCATAATACTAAATGCTGTGTTATTCTGCTTTGTTTATCTATTTGCCAACACACACTGCACACAGAAGATACACAACACACAAATATCCTAGGCTAATTAGCACAATGCATTCACAAATAATTACACACTTTCAGCGCAAGAAAACTGCCAAATGATGATGATGATGATTTCATTTCTCTGCCACCCCACAGCCGAAGCTCTCTGGACAGTTTACACGGTCCATAAAAACAAATGATAAAACAGTAGCAGTGTTGAATTGCCCTGCCATAGGATGCTTTTGTCGTTGTTTAGTCATGAAGTCGTGTCCGGCCCACCACGACTCCATGGAGATGGGGAGTTACCTTGCTATGAGTTACACCACCGGGTCAAGCAGCTCTGGACTCCCTGTCTGCTGATCCCACGGCCTGAAGGGGCCCAGTGGGCTTTGCAGCTCACCCATTCCTTCCCTCTAGGCTGCTCTGGGCATCTGGGCCACTTGCCCCGTTGGGTAACCACACCGATTCTTTCTCACCTTGCACCTGCTTCTCCTCACACGGTCTGTTCAGTCTGGCGAGTGCTACTTAGGTTTGGCTGGTTTGTAACGCTGCCGCCGGCTCCTTCCCGCCCTGCCGTTTGTCCAAAGGGACTGTGGAGGGTTTAGTAAACTGATCGAACAGAGGCGCTCAACTCCAGGGGCCACGTTCAACCTCTCCAGAGGCTGCAAGCTGCCACATTTCAGTGGCAGCATTAGCAAAGCAGTTGGAAATGAGCTTGTTTCTTCAGAATAATGCCCCTCCCACGCACATTTAAGCAAATATAATCAACAGATTTAAGGCCCAGAATTCATGTGGGCGAGCCTCTGGATACAGCACACCTCAGGCAGAGGGGAGGCTGGGCCAATAGTTCTTTAATCAGGCAGCAGTCTGACGTGTTTGTTTGTTTATTCACAACCACCCACCCCTCAAACGCCCTGCCTTCCTGAGTCTAGGTTTCCAGGACTGCGGCTGTGACTGTCAGTGCAAGTTTAGTATCTGTGGTCTCCGGAGGAAGCTGGCTGGAGGAAGGTCAACGGCGAGTGCTCCTTCTATAAAGAAGGGATCGGTTGGAGACAAGTCCCCGGCTAGATCGCCTTCTCCAAAGAGGCAGCTGAAGAAGAAGCACCTGCCCAAAGTGGGCCGGCAGTCCTGCTGCGATAGCAACTCTACAGGCTCCGACCGTGTGGGCTCGCAGCTCTCGTGGTGGTCACGCAGCCTGTCGGGGGACAGCCTCAGCATGTCCAGCCAGAAGGCACGGAGGACAGCCTGGAAGCGAAGCGACGCAGTGAGAGAGCAGCCCTGCCTCCGTTGCAAAGCCAAGAGGACGAGGGAATGGCTCGCCCAGCACTTCTTTCAACCGATGTTCTTCCCCCAAGAGAAGAGCAACTGATCCAGAGAAGAGGAGTCGCTCTGGGGAGCTGTTGTGCGTGTGACCCACTTTCGGCCCCGTCCCATGTGGGCTTGTTTGCGTGCGCAAGGACAGGCAGGGTGGGTGCCGCGCACGGCTCAGCTGCTGCCAAGGAGTGACTCATGTCAATAAAGCGTAGGAAGGCCCTGTGCATAATCACACTGTTTTCAGCACCGTAGTGTTGTGATACGTGTGGCGAAAGAAGGGTGCAGACTCGTTAAAATGCAGCCTCCTGACCTTTGATTCCCAGCCTCTTTCAGTGCAGGAGGAGCCCAATGTCTTGCATTTTTATATAAAACGAATCCTCTCTGAGAATAATGTTTAGCTTTTAAGAACACTCGTGGGCTGCGGTCCTGCAAAGCCTTGACTGATGCCAACATCAACAAGCAGATAGATTCAGGCCGCGCACATTCAAAACACCCCATGGGCATTATATCTTGAAGTCCCTCAACAACCCTGAAAGGTAGGCCAACGTAATGCGGACCTGGCAGGTCAGGGGGCTGAGACTGTGAGTTAACCGAGGCTCCCTAGAATCTAGGGCCTAGCGCATCTGCAGCCGAAGTGCCTTTTGAAGCGGAGCACTTCTTGTGTGCCACTTCAGCTCTACACGAACGGTCAGTCCGAGGGGGCAGGATTCCTCCACCTTCAAAGGGCTTATTTTGCAAGGAATTGGAGTCCCTCTGACCAGCTCCTCTTTTCTGATGTTTGGGTATGAAGCAGGGTCATCTCCATGCTCAGCCAGCAAGCTACAGACTCAACCACCCCACATATTTGTTATTTAGAATTTTTGTATGCCGTCTCATCGCATAGCCTCAGGACGGCTTCCATAAAATAAAAACACAATACAAATAACATCCAGATTCACCCTGGCTGCGAATTAAAACCTATAGCTGATATTAAAAGTTATTACAATATTGTTTCAATGAAAAGGTCTTAGCCTGGTGCCGAAAAACAAATAAGGATGGCGCCAGGCGGACCTCTCTGGGGAGCGCATTCCATAGGCGGGGCACCACACACCTGCACTGCGTTTGTACACTGCTTTTCGCCGCTGGGAATATTCGACAGCACCAAGGGGAAAATGTGCGTGCAAAACCCTGGACTGGGTAGACCGACAGGTCTGTTGGGTTGGCATCACTCTCCTCCTATTTTTTGCAAGATAGCAGGGCAGGAACCTTCTTCCACCCGTGCTGCCTGCCTAAAGGCACCACGGTGTCCAAACAGAGGGTTAGTGAGATAGGAATAAGCAGGAGAGAACGCAGCGACCAGCAGCGGCCTATGGCAAGGAAGGACCAAGCCACTAAGCGAGATAATGGAGCAGAAAGTGCTGTTCCCAACACACTCTTTTCCCACGACGGGCCAAGTTTCCATGAGCCTCCTTTGGCATTATAAATATAGCATGAAAAGCATCCTGCCAAAATTGCTTGCCTGCTGGCTCTGGCCCCCACTGAGCTGCCCCCACTGAGCTGAACTGTTGCTGCTTTTCACCAGCTCCCCCGAGAAGAAATTTACCGCTCTGGCCATCGCCAGCCCAGGAGGAAGAACCTGAGAGATTTTCAAGCCGATGCTTCATAGTTAGGTTAGGCTCCAGGTTTGGTGCCGTTCTAGCTCAGAATGTCTTGAAACACTAAACTCACATAGTCCTCATTGAATCAGTTTCTAGGATGCCACAAAATATTTTGCTTCTTTTCCCTTTTTTCGCATAGCTGGAAACTAACATGGAGTCTATCACTGGGAACAGTTTTATGCATTTTTAAACAGCTGCCTACAAACTAAAATTGAATTTTTTGTTAGGATCCGTTTTTTAAAAACCACAACACCAGCTCAGATGACACGGTCTGTACATGCACGGTGTATCCTTTGCCCCTTAAACAAGCAAACAACTGAATTCCCCTCAAAAGAACACTTCTTAGAGGTGCTTTGGCCAGATAATCCAAAGTATTACCAAGCCAAAATCTTACTGCTGGCTCTGGGTACCAGCAGGGAATCAAGGCATGATACGGTATTCCATCAACATATGCTTCCTTCTATCATTGCATTAGGACATACGAAAAAATATTTTTTTCCCCGTGAAAAAATAGAAACCATGCTGTGGGGTCATCATGAAAGAAGCTGTAACTTTCTTAGGATGTTGAGAGTAGCTTCCCATAAGGAAGCATCCTACAATCTACCGTGCCTTAGAACTAGCAAATGGCCCCAGCTATTGTTGCTTTTTGCAGAAAGCAGGAACGGGCAGCGGAGGAA